CAAAATATTCGTTTTTGTCATCCTAATAAGTAGTAGTTGAATCGCAGTACTACTGCACTACTGCATTGGTCCTTATTTTACAGGCCTATTATGTGCAGAGTAGATCTGTATATTATGCAGTTATGGCTAGTGAAAGTTGCTTGGCCATGTGAAAAAAAATGGATTGGTTTGTGTGGGCCATGCTATACTGTCCATCATCCACAGAACCACAGTCAGGTAAGAAAATCATTATTTGGGTAAACAGTAGTTTCAGTGAGGGCGGTGAAGTGGACTTTGTTTTTAAATTCTGGTGATTTCACCAAATGTTGGTGATTGTTGTTGTTGGATATGTTGGTTATTTTCCACCCTCTGGGTGTTACAGCAAACTTGTGGCTGTTTTTGTGGTTGCTAGGCTGTTATGACTGCTTTCAGCCTAGACAAGAATTTAGTGATTTGTATTTAATTAATAAAAAACAATTTTGTTTGCGGTCTGTTCACCTAGCTGTTCAGGCTGGCGTTGCTGTGAAGTAGAAGACATAAGGCAGCATGCTTACAGAAACTGTAGCACTTTTCATTGCATTGGCTTAAGAGGCCTGCGCTGCCCTGGTTTACCTTATGCATAAGCTTCAATCGTAGCATAGGCAGCTTAGATGACAAGCAAGATATCTGCCTGTATGACACAGAGTGTCTCTTCCAGCCTTCCCACCCAGAGCGTTCAACCAGCTCAGCTCAACAGCCGGGTTTTTAGAACAGCCTCAATTGTCAAGTACAATAAATGTGATACTAATGTAGGATATCACATCAATCAACATATTCAAGTTCAACTGTGTTCCCATGAGTGAATGCTGGTGTCTTGCTGTGGTCTGAATGAAATAAATCAATAAGTGAAAAACAGTTTTAAATCAGAGGTCCATCTCTGTGGAGCTGTTATAGCGGGATCTCAGTTTACCGTCGCCAGGGCACACTGCAAAAATGGTATCTTATCAAGTGAAATTATCTTGATTCCAGTCGATATTTCTAATATTTCTTATTTTGAAATGGTTATGCACTTGTTATAAGATTAATTATCTTATCAGACAGTTTTTACCTGTTTTAAGTAAAATGATCTCAGTATACAGGCAGATAATTTTGCTGTATTCAAGCACATTTCTTACAACAAGCAAAATTATCTGCCAATGTAGTGAGATAATTTTACTTAATAAAATTACTGAAAACAAGTAAAAGTGTTTGGAAATAGGTTAAATAATCTTAGAATAAGCTTACAACAATCTCAGCAGGAGAAATATTGGATAAATCGACTAGATTTAAAGCCAGACATGTGCAATTTTAACCCGGTTTAAGCCCGATGTGTTCGGAGCCGACTGAATTTCATGATCGGGCCAAATTTCCGCTTCATCTGCCGTCGTTTGCCATGCAGTGTGAGGAGAAAAGATTCCAGATTGACGGCCCAAATGAGCTTCAACTGAGCAGTCGGTTGTCTGACAGTCTGAGCAGCCTTGCGAACAGATTTTGCAAAGTCGCACCCAAAACCACAGACAATCACAACCACTGCTCCTGCATGGGGTCAAAGAAGTCGACATTTGGGGCACCAGCGTCCGTGTATGCCGACTTTGCTCCGTTTGACTGAGTTGAAGTGTGAGGTATAAATAAATAGTTTTTTTGTTTGTTTTCGTAGAGCTGTCTGTAGACCACCTGGTCTTCAGCTTCAGCGCACAGTGTGGCACAAGTTAGCTAAGCTGTTGTAGTGATTTCTCTAGTATGGAACTGTGCACACATGGCTGAATCTCAGACGGGCTAATTATTAGACATGTGATGCGCTTTATGGGTGCAGGAGCCACTATTTTAATATGTGGTTCACTGTAGGGAGCAGCGAGCCATTTGAGATTGAGCCAGTGTTTTTGCTCGGGACTCTGAGGCGCTGCGTGTTGTTTTAAATGAAACAGCTGTATTGGAAATTGTCTGTAGACAGAGCGACTTTAGGGGCTGCATTTCATGTACAGTGTGAGCACCCATGTCGTGTCATGTCAGTCGGACCAAGTGTTTTCGTACAGTGTGAGTATATAAATTGCAGGCTTTGGCCGCACACGATGGGCAGTTCAAGCGTACAGTATGAGTTGTCACCAAAGAACAAGATTTCTAAAATCGCACAGTGTATGTCTGGATTAAGATAATTTTGCTTGACGAGACACTATTTTTTGCAGCTCACAGTCCTGTTGTACTGTATGTTATTCAGAAGTGCATGTTCTATATACACAATCTCTTATAATGATGGCGCAGATGGCTATGGATAAATGCACATTCATGCTTTGCAGCCAGAAAGGCTTTTATAGAATCTGCCTATAGAATGTGAGCAGAAAGCAGATGAGCTGGCTGCTCTTGATTTAATGCGGGAGGCTGCGGGTACTTGCTCCGAAATGGCGAGTGGAACATGCGGAATTAAGTTATAAAACACACTGACCTCCACACACTCGCACACACACGCGCTCAATGACAGTGACTCACACACACTCCTGCCCCTCCGTACACACGGCCGTCCGACGACACCGTTTTGCTCTCTAACAATCTTGCTAATTATAATTGTTAATTAATTTTCTCATAGCGTCCTCATCAGGAGACTAATAACCTACATTTTACATAATTAGACCTTCAACCTTTTACTCCCTCTACCTCTCCCTCCATCTCGCGCTCATTCCATCCCTGCCTCTCCCCCTGCTCTCTCTCTCTCTCTCTCTCTCACATCATGTCGCCACAGGGTGCAGGTATGTTTTCGTTGCGTCCTGTCTTGCTGGCTTATTGAACATTCTGAGGATGAAGTACAGACAGACTGGTGAAACAGCCTGCTCCTATTATTATACAGCAAATATTTGGAACTGTTTACCTATTAATATATTCATATTTGTAGGGCCCCTGCTATTAGTAGTTTTAAAAAGCAGCTGGGGCTCCTGAGTGGTGCAGCTGACTAAGCGTGGGCCCCATCATGCCGAGATTGCGAGTTGAATACCCAGATACTTGTAGCCAGGAATTCAAGACAGTATAATTTGCCTCACTCTGTCTAGGGTGGTCCTCCCTCTATGCCATCACAATGCTGGCCAGTATGGGCATCTGTTAGCAGACGTAACAGCATTAGATGTTACCATTGTCCTCCAAGCATGTTGAGCTTGAGTAACGTTGCTTTAGGTGCAATTCCAAAAGATCCAAAAGTCTCAGAGGAAGCTAGCCTTCATACATCCAACTTGGTAACACTGTGTGGTAGGGGGACACGACAAAGACACGACAAAATAGGTAAGAAAATTTAGTAAAATTAAAAATAAGTAGTCAGAGAGCACCATTCATTTATTTATTCATTTATTGATTTATTATTTCCAGTCAAAATGGCTATTAAGCCCTGTGATGGACTGGCAACCTGTCCAGGGTGTATCCTGCCTTCCGCCCAATGACAGCTGGGATAGGCTCCAGCACCCCACCGCAACCCAGAAGGATAAGCGGTTTAGATGATGGATGGATGGATGGATGGCTATTAAGTAAGTTCTTCCCTTTTTCAGGAGAATATTAGATATAAAATAATGCACTAGCATAATGAAAGGTAAAGTAAAACGAAAATAAGTGAGGAGTTTCCAAAACTGGAGTTCAAAAAATGGTTAAGAGCTACAGAAAAAATAAGACTCCTAACAACCACCTGAAACACTGGGGTTGGATTCATGAAAGCTTTCATAAGAAAAAAACTTGTGAAGGTTCTTACAACAAGCGCTAAGAAGTTCATAATAATGTTCTTAAATGCAGTTCTTGAAAAAAATTTAAGAAGTTCTCAAATCTGTTAGCAGACGTAACAAATATTCTCAGATATTCTCCTGAGATAATCTTATTTTTCGTAAGAAAATCAACAGGTGTTTCTGTCCATCCTTCCACTGTGAGAAGACGACTCAGCGCTGTGGGTCTGAAAGGATGTGTAGCTGTCAAGAAGAACCTCACTGAGAAAAGGAGACGGACACATCAAACAAAGAAGCTGAACGATGGACTGACCACCCCAGAGTCCAGACCTCAACACCACTGAATGTGTTTGATCACTTCAGAAAATGATCAACCAGCTTCTAAGACTGAACTTTGGAGGTGTGTCTGCAGATTCTTTGAGGAACTGAAAGCGAGTCCCCTGAAAAGAATTTAAGCTGGAGTAAAGGTGAAGAGTGGGCATAAAAATATGACAAAAAATATGATATTAAATTTAATTGTTGAGTACATCTTTTAAATATTCTGCTTTTCTTCCTGACCTTGAAAAATGGTCATACTTAATAGCCAATTTGACTGAAAATTAAATATATGAAGTGGTCTGACTTTTGCACAGTACTGTAAATAAGTAAATAGAAGTTTTATTAGCATTTACCAATTATTTTTCTCTTTTTTCTTAGTTGATTTAATCATTGCCCTCTTTCCCTCAGTCTTGCTCTCTCTGCCTGTGCATGGTGGCCGTCTTCCTCTTTTTTCCCTGAATCCTTCCAAGCTGACCTGGATTGAGTTGCAGACGAGGCCGCCACAGTTAGCCACCTGTGTGAGTGAGCTGCTGATGCCAGCCAGAAGCAAGCAAGCTAGCACTAGTGATGCTAGCACAGGCTATAACCATCCCTGGGTCTCCCTGCTTCCAAATATACGCTTAACTCCTTTTCTCTAGTCATGCTAGCCTCGGGCTACGCGCTGCACTCCCAACCCACCCGTCAGATGAGCTACTTTTACAGGACTTTGATGAGGACTGTACGCAGAGTGGCCGAGATCATCGGTTCTAGATGAAGTAATCTACTCATCTGTTCCACGGTCTTCCCTTCTGACACACATCCAACCGTGCAGTCCACTGACCAAGGACGGCCAAGTTGGTGGCCAGCATCTCTCCCTCTCTGTCCTTTTTCTGTCCCTCCCTCCATCCGTCTCTCTTTCACTCTCCAGAGAGAGGTAACCCAGATTTCAAAAATGAATTGCTTGCCTATTTCTCTCCATCCACCACTCCCTCCTTCTCTCTCTCTCTCTCTCTCTCTCTCTCTCTCTCTAACTCTCTCTCTTCACCTCATCTGCTCATCCTGTTGGTAAAAACAGAATCAATCAAATCTTGGAAAGTGAAAATCGCCTCTTTGTCTCGGCCCCTCTCTGCTCTCTATTGGATAAAGGGATCGGGAGCCCACCACCACCACCTCCTCCTCCACTCCTCTTTCGTTCCTGGAAAGCTCCACTCTCCTCCCTCACTTTCTTCCTCTTCTCTTTTCTCTTTTTTTATCCTTTTTTTTCTTCGGGGGCTGTTGCGAGTTTGTGGACTTTTTCTTTTCTTCAGCATCACGTTTTCTTCCACTTTTTATGAGTGAGGGTCGGCGGTGAGGACACATCGAGAGGAAGAGGGGCGAGCGAGAAGAGCGACTTTGACCAGGTGTGCCAGCCAAACAGCTGAAAATACAGGTACTCTTTCTTTCTGCATTCTGGTCTTGTCTTTTCCGTTCCGTCTTTTTAAAAGTCCTCCACTTCTGTCATCGATTGTTTATCACTCTTAAATCCAGGTGATTTATTTTGGTTGCATTTTCAGGGTTTTTTTTAACCTCCCTCATTTCCTTCTCCTGCTCTGTTTGTTTTCCCCTTCCTCTCATCTCCTGTTGCTCGATTTGATCACTCACTCCCTGTATTGGCCCTTCTAAAATAAATGTGTGCCAAATCGATCCCATTCATTTCACTAAAGTGGCTCAAGACAGCCCAGGGACTCAGACTTACAGGAATAGTTCAGAAGCTAATGTTGCTAACAGTAAGTGAAAGTGGATAGCCATCACTTAGCGACATGCCAATGCAGTCAGGCTGATTGGTGGCTACTAGGTTCCATTTATCGTTAGCCGCGTTAGCATGTACGGTTTGCGCTATTTAAGTAGTCATATTCAGATATTCAGAGCATTTTTAAGATTCTCTGCTGAAGGATGGTGTGAATGGAGGGAGAGGGGGCAGAGGAGAGGAAAAAGGAGTGATAGAGAGAGGGAGGGATGACAGGAGTGCAGGAGCAGGTGGTGTGGGGGGGCGGTTGACATGGTGATGCAGAGCGTGCTTGTGAAGTAGGGCAGGAGGCGCACTAATCGCTGTGTGCTTCAGAAGTCCCTCTGGAAGTCTGTGTTTGTATGTGTATTAACCTCTCCTTCACAGACTCTTTCGCTCTCTCTCTCTTTGTCTCTCTCTGTCTCTACCCTCCTGTGTATTCCTTCTCTCCACTCCTCAACAACATCTGTACACACTCAAACCTTTGCAACACTTCCTGTGCCTGTTGGCTTCCTTCCGAGCCTCTTTCTTTCTCCCGCCATTTCTCCTCCTCAACATTCCTCCCTTTTTTTTTCTTTTTTTTCCTGTTGCATTTAACCTGGGCCAATGTATCATGGCAACTCACCCCACACCTGTTCTCTGCACACTTACTTCCTCCATTTTCCCTCTTTTCTACTCATATATCTGTCTCTATAACCTTTCTACCAACCTTCTTTCTTCATTTGCCCATCTCCAACCACCTTCCTTCCCTTCCACAGCATGTCTACCCCAGTCTCTCCATCTCCCTCTCTCTCTCCGCTGGCCCTGTCCTCCCCATCTCCCTCCTCCTCTCCTCTTCCCTCGCCCCTCTCTCCTCCACCCAGGCTGCCAGTCTTCCAGAGGAAAGGAGCCCTAAAGCACAAGAGGATTGTAGAAGTGAAGGACCATCAGTTCACAGCTCGATTCTTCAAACAGCCCACCTTCTGCAGCCACTGCACCGACTTCATATGGTACTTTCCATTAGCACAACAATCTAGGATAGCAATAGTAATCAATCAACAAAGTTGATTAGTCATCAGTGATGTTTATTTGTAGAAAATCGATATGTTGTTTACCTAACACTGTGTAATGCTGTGTAATGTTCATATGATCCACACAGTCATTCTGACAGACTGCAATGCACTAGAGAAAGTGTAGGGGGCGATATGACTTCTACTGTTTCGTTTAAAAAGCCTCTATAATGTTCATATGATCCACACAGTCACTCTGACAGACTGTAATACACTACAGGAAGTGTAGGGGGCGATATGACTTCTACTGTTTCATTTAAAAAGCACTCTATAATGTTCATATGATCCACACAGTCACTCTGACAGACTGTAATACACTACAGGAAGTGTAGGGGGCGATATGACTTCTACTATTTCATTTAAAAAGCCTCTATAATGTTCATATGATCCACACAGTCATTCTGACAGACTGTAATACACTACAGGAAGTGTAGGGGGGCATATTGTTTGCTTCACTGCACCATGAATGAATAAATCACTTGTTGACAGAGCTGTAGATCATAGCAGTGCTGTGACGGGCTAAAGTGAGAGAAAACTGCAGAAGGCATAGTGAGACTAGTCAATTTCATTAAGTCGATAGATCATCCGGTTTTAGAAATAATCATTAGTTGGCCTTAGGTCTGTGCAGATCAATTAGCATTCCACTGTTCATACACAGACCCATAAGCCATGCTCCATTTGCATATGTAGACTGCGGACGTGTTTCCCCTTTGTTTTGGAAGCTTGACGACTCCCTTGACAACCACAACACACTGCGCAGGGAGGTCTAACGCATTTCTCCTAGAAAATAATTCATGCTAAACATGTCCGCATGCATATTTTAGATGGCAAAGTGTAGAGGATCCCCATCGGTAAACCTCTTAGCTTGTACAGCCATGAAACATGGTAATGTGGATTCTACTAGTGTGCAAAGCTCCAGCTCATGCACTCTGAAACTATTCATTTTAAACTCTTATTTTAGAGTATAAATCCAGAGTTAGCTTTAGTGAACATTGTCTGGATCCTGCGTAATTTCACTGTAGAAACTAACGAGTTGTTAAAACTCTGGTGCACCATGTCCTGTTAATACCCACTCCCGAAGTGGCTACCTACATCATGCTAAAGTGATCACCACTGTGAGCAGCTTCTGATTGGTTACCTTAGGTTGAGGCCTAAGCTCTTGGATTAGCTGCTGCTTTCACCTCATCCACTCGCCATGCCTGCCAGCTTGGAAGTCAGCCACAGTCGTTTGTCAGTGCCAACATTTTTAAGCTTCCTGTTGGGCTTTGGCTTTGAAATATTGTCAGTATTAGCATGAGCTAACATAGCACCAAATGCTGAAAATGCTAAACCTGCCCACAATAATGACTGGAATGACAGGACTCACAGGCAATTACAAGATGGACTACTGTACCTTTATAATCTATGATTATTGTATGAATTACTACTCTTTTTCTTACATTATGCTTCATACATACTGTGCAATGAAGAATTATTTACCCCCTCGTGATTTCTTCTTCGCTTCTATATTTATGACAGTTGTTTCAGTCAAAATTTTAATAAAAAGTTATACCAATTAGTTACACCTAGGTGAAAAAGCAATTGTCTCATCAGTTATTCGACTATATCAGACTTGATTACTGCCAGCCATGTTGAATCTAAACATCACTTCAATAGAATCTTTCCATCAACGTCAAGTTGGCTAAAAGGTCTTATCAAGCAGCACGTTATGCCACGATCAAAAGATATTAGAGAAAGAAAGTTACTAAAATATATCAGTCTGGAAAGCCATTTCTGAGGCTCTTGGACTCCAGCGAACCACAGTGAGAGCCATTATCTCTGAATGAAGGAAACTTGGAACGGTGGTGAATCGCCCCAAAAGTGGCTGTCCTACTGAAATACCTCCAAGAGAACAGCAACGACTCATCCGGAAAGTCACAAAAGAACCCAGATGAACACCTAAGGAACTGCAGGCCTCGTTCACCTCAGATAAGGTCAGCGTTCAGGATTCCACCATTAGAAAGAGACTGTAAAGAGAAATTAAGTCCATGAAAAAATTAAGAGGAGAAAACCACGTCTAACCAAGGCGAGCATAAAAGATCGTCTAACATTTACCAAAAAAACACCTTTGGAATGACGTCCTGTGCCTGATGAGTTGAAAGTGTAATGTTTTGTGTGACGGGTCCCGTTACGCCTGGTGTAAAGCTAACGCAGCATTCCACAACCATACCAACAGTGAAACATGGTGGTGGTAGTGTGATGGTGTAGGGAGCTTTTTGCTTCAGAGCCTGAGCCACTTGTCATAACTGAGGGAACCATGAATTCTGGTCTCTAACTGCAAGAGCATGTCGGGTCATCAGTCCATGATATGACGCTGAAGCACAACCCACAAGAGCAAGTCCACCTCTGAATGGCTCAAAACAAACAAAATTAAGATTTTAGAGTGGCCAAGTCAAAGCCCTGACTTGAACCCCATTGAGACACTGTGGCAGGACGTTAAATGGCCAGTTCATGCTCGAAAACCTTCCAGTGTGGCTAAATTAAAGCAGTCCTGCAAAGAAGATTTGGCTCCACAGCAGTGTGAAAGACTAATCTCCAGTTGTGTTATAAGTTAGAAGCATTTGGTTGCAACATAATTGGGTCACGGCGTGGAAGAGTTGCTTTAGTACATCAAAGAACCCAGCACACTAAATGATTCATTTAAAGTTCATACAAAGGCATGTGCTACAACCACTTTACTGTATAAATTTACAGTTGGGCAAGACCCTTATTGCCATCGTTGACACGTATATGCATATGTTTTGGGCTTGTCCTAATGTGGATGTGTTCTGGTCCTGTGTTCAAAATTCTCTCTGATATTTTGGGATAAATCTGTACACGAAGATCCAGGGTCTTTTCTTTTACTTGATGACTCTGCAGAATTGTTTCCTACTCATCAAAAAGGGACTTTTTTGGCCGGCCGTACAGCAGCCAGAAAGTAATTTTGAAAATATGGTTCAAACCTGTTCGTGCGTATCTTGTTTGGCTTATTTTTGAGACATTACTCTTCTGGAATGTACAATGGCCAGGATAAATAAGGCCGAAACATGAACTATTGTAGTGAAATACTGAGAAAGAACTATTAAAATAATGAGAGCTTAATGAGTTTTGTTAACTGATGCATGTGTGGAAACCTATTTATTATTTATCCTTAAAACATATGTCTTCTCCTCTTAGGCGAGTGTAACGCTGACCATCACTGCAACTTCATCATTAGCATTACTACTATTGGTGTCTAATAGCGATTGTTAACTCTATATTACATATAGAGTGAAGCATTCTATGGGCATATCTTGGCCTTGTTGAATATAGTTCTTGTGATCTGTATGTTTACTTATTAATAAAATATTGATCATGAAAGATGCATTTGGTTGCAGTTGTTACTGCTGAAGGTGGCCCAACCAGTTATGAAGTTTAGCGCTAGTTGCTTTTTCATAGGGCTAATATAGGTGTTAGAAATGAAATAAATGAAATGATCGTTTAAAAGCTGCTTTCTGTTTCCTCGTTTTATTTTTATCTTACGTTACATTTCGTATGAGGATCTGAAACCATTTTGTGTGACAAATATGCACAAAAAAGAGGAAATACAAAGGGGGCAACTTTTTCACGGCACTTTAGCATTGCTATGCTGTATTCTCATGCACAAAAAAAACATTGCAGTGTTTTCCATGCAGATTTTAGTGAGAGTGAGTTATAAGGCAGGTCCAGGAGACGCTTTATGTCTAAAAAGTTGTAGGATGTAAACAGTCAGTGTGTTTACATGCACTCAATGATCCGACCTAAACCCGATAATCGGATTTCTGCAGTTATATGATTATTCAAATGGTCGTGTAAACAGCACACTCTGATTTCTTAGATCGGAGTAAGGTCTAGAAATCCAATTAAGAAATCTAATAAAGAGGCTGGATTTTAGCTCAGTAATCAGATTTCTCAGTGCATGTGAACTCTTACTCTGATTTCTTTCGGATTTCTCAGTCATCTGCGAAAACAGGTGGCGGTACCGGAAATAAGCAAACAGCGTTGCCTTGAGACGCAGCAAAACGCTTTTGGAGTGACGCTGAAACCATCTACATGCTTGACGAAATTAAGGGTTTAAATATTCTTCATCTTCTAGATGTTGTTTGTTCATAGATTCAGATAAAGTTTTTAAAAAAAGCCGCGGCGTGAAGTTTTACTATACGTTTACATCACGTCTTCTTCTGTGAATTTATTGGCTGGCTGCAAAGCAGATATCTGATTACTGTCTGATTCATGTAGACCCGGAGTTTCACATTATCTGGTTACTCAAGTGCATATAAACGCGTTGATCGGATTACTGACGAAATCTGATGTTCTGCAGTTATCAGATTATCAAGTGTTAATGTTAAAGCGAACCATTGACTCCATACAGCTACTAAACTAAACTAACCCTAAAACTAAGCTTCAAAAAAACAGTCCATTTTGAATTTTTCATGTTTGGGATGTCACAACTACACGACTATAACGTACATTTGTCCACCCATTCAGCCTACAGCAGCTTAGCCCCGCCCATTCCCATTGAAGTGATGCAGAGTGTTCTTCCTGCAGACTGTAGCAGTTGTTGAGAATTATTGCAGCCTTCTGAAGGATCCACACGTCCTAAAGGAGTGGCTGAAGTTTTTCTCACATCTCTGAGGGTTTTGGTCTGAATGTATCAGCTCGTTATGAGTGGACTTCAGGAGGACAAAAGCAGAATGCAAAAAATGCGGCAAAAGGGCCTTTTAAAATATCAGAAAGAGCCTGTTGAGCGCACTAAAGAAGAGAGTAGACAACACTGAGTTCTGTTCTGCACATCTACTCCAGAGCATGCTTGTCTGCACAGCCTCCTCCATGGCTGGTAAAGCTCGAGCCCGGAGGGACGGCTTAAATTATGCAGGCCGCTCTGTTTGAGCTAACGCTGAAGCACATGCACAGAGCAGCCCAGCCAGTGCAGCGCTGCAGGCAGCCATATGGCCCCAAAATCAGTCCACCTCTTTACTCCCGCTGACCAGCCGGCTCCACACGTTCTCTCTCATACATCTCCCTCTCTCTCTCTCTCTCTCTCTCTCTCCCTCTCCCTCTGTATCACCTACACTCTATCTTTCTCTTAATCTCTCTGTCTGTCTTTTAAGTGTATATCTCTCCATTTACCTCTGTCTCATTCTTTCTATCTGTCTCTCATTCATTCTGTCTGTCCTTTATGTGTATCTCTCCATTTCACCCTCTCTCTTTCTCTCCATCTGTGTTTTTTGTTACTCCATTTCCCTCTTTTGATCTGTCTCGTTCTCTCTGTTTTATAGTGTCTGTCTTACAATGTGTCTCTCTTTCTTTGTTTTGTCTCTCCCTGTCACAGTGTCTCTCTGTCTTAATGTGTCTCTCTGTCTGTCTTACACTATGTCTGCCTGTCTTACGTTTTCTCTCTCTCTCTGTCATATAATGTGTCTCTCTGTCTTACAATGTGTCTCTCTCTGTCTTACGTGTCGCTCTGTCTTACAATGTGTATTTCTCTCTATTTTACATTGTGTATCTGTCTGTCTTACAGTGTCTCTCTGTCTTAGTGTGTCTGTCTTACAATGTGTCTCTCTCTGTCTTACAATGTCTCCCTCTCTATCTTACGTCTGTCTCTCTCCCTTACAGTGTATCTCTCTCTCATACAGTGTGTATCTCTCTGTCTTACAGTGTGTCTCTATTTGGCTTACAGTGTGTCTCTGCCTTACAGTGTGTATCTCTGTCTTACAGTGTGTATCTCTGTCTCACAATGTGTCTCTTTTTTCTCTCTCTCTTTCTTTGTATCTCTCATTTTCTCTCTCTTTGTCTCTCTCTGTCTTAAGATATTTTTCTCTGTATGTGTCAGTCTCTCTCTCTCTCTCTCTCTCTCTCTCTCTCTCTCCCCTTCTCCCTCTCGTCCTTGTCTTGTCTCAGACTCTGCTGCAGACTGGTAAGGAAGATGCCATCTTGCACTGTAGCCTTGCCAAAACCTTTCACAGATTTTGAGAACATTATAACACTATACCATCAAAATACAGACCTTCACTGAGTTTTATGGGTGGGTTTTTATGTCATTTTGGTCATTAAAATTACTAAAAAGTACTGTAAAGGCAGTGTTATGTTTGTTATTTTGTTGCAGAGTATGAAGTTGAATGCTGATGTTGTAATGAAATCATTTCCACTTGATGTCACTGTTTCTCAAAGCATAAGTAGTCCTCTCTATTGCCCCCTGGTGGTTACTGTAACAGGCACTGCCCTGTCTGGCACAAGAGTCATATACTGTGCAAGAGAATTTGAAAAAAACTCACTTCTGTCTCAATATTTTCTCTTCACAGGGGTATAGGAAAGCAGGGATTTCAATGCCAAGGTAACATTGTCATAATGTTACATACAATTTGATATTTACCTTCTTCCTTTCTGAGAATAAACATTTGAACAAGGTTAAATTTTGACTTGCATATATCCAAAAGTATCCAAATTGCTTCTTCATCAGCTTTTTTTTCTAAAATCACTGGCATTAACAGGGGGTTATGCCCTCTTTGCTGCAGTAACAGCCTCTAGTCTTCTTGGAAGGCTTTGCATTAAATGTTGGAACATTGAGGATTTGATTACGTTCAGCCACAAAAGCATTAGTGAGGTCAGGTACTGATGTTGGATGATCAGTTCTCGATCACAAATGCCACCCACCTCATACCAAAAGAATTCAGTGGAGCTTGACCAACCCAACTCATCCCAAAACTCAATTTAAAGGTGTTCGGTAAAGCTTTGTCACTCCAGCTCATCCCAAAACTCATCCCAAAGGTGTTTAGTGAAGCATCATCACTCCTACTCATCACAAAACTCATCCCAGAGGTGTTCCACGAAGCCTTATTACTCCCACTCACCCCACAGCTCATCCCAGAAGGTATTCCATGAAGCTTCATTACTCCAGCTCATCCCAAAACTCGTCCCAAAGGTGTTCATTGAAGTGTCAGCGCTCTAACTTATCCCCAAACTCATCCCAAAGGTGTTTAGTGAAGTGTCAGCACTCTAACTCATCCCAAAAATCATCCCAGAGGTGTTCAGTGAAGTGTCAGCACTCTAACTCATCCCAAAAATCATCCCAGAGATGTTTAGTGAAGTGTCAGCCCTCTAACATATCCCCAAACTGATTTGAATGGTGTTCAGTGAAGCTTCATTACTCTAACTCATCCCAAAAATCATTCTAATGGTTTTCAGTGTAGCATCATCCCTTCAGCTCATCCCAGTGATGATCAGTTGAGCTTCGTCACTCCAACTAATCCCAAAGGTGTTCAGTGAAGCTTTATTGATCCAGTAATTAGAAGGGGCATTTGGGTACTTTTGGACTGTTCTTTTGGTTTCATGTTGAACATAAGTACCATCTGCTGGTGTAAAATCTAACATGAATCTCTTTTAGTTTGCAGTTTTGTGGTGCACAAACGCTGTCACGAGTTTGTGACTTTCACATGTCCTGGAGCCATCACTGGACCTAAAGCAGAGGTACTCAATTTGTTGATTGTTCCTTTCACCCTTCTTTCATCCTTTCCTTACTTCTTCCACCTTTCTTGCTCTCTCTCTCTCTCTCTCTCTCTCTCTCTCTCTCTCTCTCTCTCTCTCTTGCTGTCTCTCTCTTTGTACACCTATGCTATATTGGCAGAATTTTGCAGTTCCCGTATGTGTGCTAGCAGATATAAGGCTTATTAGATGACTCACATATCTCATAATTTGGTTCAATGCATTATCAATTACATTTTTCAATACAGCGAAAATGAGGTGTGCCTTAAAATCTGCCTCTTAAAATGTTAACATTTCCATTTTCAGTTTATTAGAACGTTCAACATCATAACATGAGCTGATATAAGCTCACAGGGAGTGAGTGTGCTTTTCCTCCCTGCTCTTGATTTTGAGGTAAAGAGGAAGCGATATTTTCGGAGGGGGGAGGGGTCTGCCCTCCAGACCCAGCTCTCTCCATCCATAACATTTTTGCACTCATTCCTTTCATCCTTAGCACTTGCTTCTTTCCCTCTCCATCTCTTCTATTCTGCTGGTATCAGAGCTGATGATGTACACACAGAGTCCCCACACACACACACAGACCCACATATCTCCTCCGTTGCGATCAGCACTGCACAGAAGTGCTGCGATGATGGCGTATTGGTGTTGAACCTGATAGTAGAGAGAGCGACAGAGATAGTGAGAGTGAGGAAGAGAGGAGGTGTATGATAGCGAGGGTGGCCAAATTGCTTTTCTTCATTTCTCTGCTTCTTTCCTTTTTCATGATGTGGCATCTTTTACTCTAAATGAAATAAATAAAATGCACTTAGAATGAGGTCAAGGAGAGTGTAAGTGTGTGAATTCGCGCCCGTGTGTGTGCATTGATCTGTGCGTGTATGTGTGTGTATGAATGTTTTTCCAAGGCTGTGCTATATGGCCAAAAGGCACCGTTTATTTTTCCGCATCGTTCATTATCAGTAATTATACACATTTTCTAATGATTAATTGTAATTTTTTTTACCTCTATACACCACCACAATGGATTTGAAATAATGTAGTCAAGATGTAATTGGTTTAGACTTTTAGTTTTAATTCAAGAGGTTTAACCAAAATATTGCTTTAACCGTTTAGGAATTACAGGCATTTTTTTTCGTAGGCTTGAAAGTAATTGGATAATTGACTGATAAGCAGTTTGTCGATGCAAAGAGGTGTCGATGCAAATGAAGACATCATTAGGCTGAAAAAGCAAAGCAAACGTATCGGAGAGATAGCAGAGACTTTAGGAGTGGCCAATACAACAGTTTGGTACATTATTTAAAAGAAGGAATGCACTAGTGAGCTCAGCATCACCAAAAGGCCTGGAAGAGGCCTTGTGCTCTCTTGGACTCCTGCATCGGATGGCTGTAGCATCACCAGGGATCAAACTCGCGATCTCCTGATGACAGGGCCAACAAGTTTGCTTGTTTTCCTCTTTTACTGTCTTTTGAATGGATAGGTGTTTCTGTGTAGCAGAGAACATACCTATAGAGTTAGCGGTGGGCTCGTCTGCATCGTTTAACTCCTGATTTGAAAACGAGTAACAGTCTGGCCCTGCGTCAGAGGAGGATATATACTGTATACCTGCATATACGCACCACTACACTGGAGCTCAAGCCTTTGCTACACCACACTGAGGATCAGAACAGCGTAATAATGTTATTTAATCATCAGCCTATCATTTATATTGAACAAAACGTCTGATTTAGATAATTATCGGCATTGATTTTGTCACCCAGGCCTGTGTGTGTGTCTCTCACTCTGTGTGTGTGCAGGTATCAGAGGGAGAGAGAGAGAGTGACAGACGGATGTGTGTATGTGCGCGGAAGAGAGAGCGCAGGGTTTATGGCGGGTGACACGCAGAGGGAGAGGAGGGGAAGGATGAAGTCTGGCAGAGGATGAAGAAAATGGGCGGAGACTAGGCAGAGAGAGACGGAGGGGAGAGGAAAAGACAGATGACAGGAGCTGAGGATGAGAGAGATGAGCAAGAGGGTGAGAGAGATTAACAGAGAGAGAGAGAGAGACAGCCAGGGAGAGATAGAGAGAGATAGGCCAAGAGAAAGAGAGTGAGACATAGAGAGAGAGAGAGAGAGAGAGAGATTAACAGAGGGAGAGAAAGAGAGAGAGAGAGAGGGAGCACCGGGCATTTAGGAGGATTCAGTTTTCACAGCTGAGCTGAACTCATTTATTCATCCACCATTCAGCTTCCTCAAAATAGCCTGAGCTAATTGGCTCACAGTCACTTCAAAATGGAGCCCTTCCTTCGTGTGTGTGTGTGTGTGTGTGTGTGTGTGTGTGTGTGTGTGTGTGTGTGTGTGTTTACAGGTGTCTGTGCAGAGAGACGGACTCATCAGAGCTCGTCTATTTATAGAGAAAAGGGCAGCATCAGTGGGATTCTCATCAGACTCCTAATTTAAACCCCTCTCTGTCTCTCTCTCTCTCTCTGTCTCTCTCCTTCTTTTTCTTTTTCTCTTTCTCTCTCGCTCCCTCACTCTTTCCCTCCCCCCTCTCTCTCTTTCTCGTTCCCTCTTTTCCTCTTTCTCGTTTCCTCTTTTCTTCTTTCTCATTCCCTCTTTTCCTCTTTCTCTCTCTCCCTCTCTTCTCTCTCTTTCTCACCCTCTTTCTCTCTTTCTCTCTCTCTATTTTTTCCCTCTCTCCTTACCTGTCTGCCTCCTTCCATCTCTCCTCTCTCACTTTCACTCTCTCAATCTCTCTTGCTCCCTCTTTCTTTCTCTCTCTCTCGCTCCCTCACCCCCCCCCTCTCTCTGCAGGACCTGAAGAGTAAACACAAGTTTAAGATACACACCTACTCCAGCCCGACCTTCTGTGACCACTGTGGCTCTCTGCTGTACGGCCTCATTCACCAGGGCATGAAATGCACCAGTGAGTGAGTGTGTCTATGTGGATATGAGTGAATGTGGCGGTGAAAGACACAGCATTTCACTTAATTTTTAATAAAAGTAATCTAATGCAAGATTTTCATTAATAGAGCAAACGTTTCGAGCCACTGGGCTTTAAGAAAACACTTGTTATGCATTAATTGAATTTGACTCTCAGCTCTACCAGCAGATAAAGAACTACTCTGTATGACATTGCCATCGAGAAAACTGAGATACCGCACAGCAGATCCGTGATACGGTGGAAATGCACAGTGCCAGGAAGTTAATATCATTATATTTAATAACATAACAAGTTAACAAGCATAAAATCAATTTATGCTTTAATAAACATGTCCCATCAGCTAGGGATAACTCGCATGACGAGTCATCATTAGGGATGTAATCACAGAGACACTGTACAGCACAACAGTCTGACAGAGTTTAATTTGAGCACAAGTTCCCTTTTTTGGGCATTTTCAGAAATCATTTAAAGGTTACTTTACTTTTACTTTAGTAGGGATCAGGGGACAGGTGGACGGCATAATCCATAATCATCACTGAGAAACAGGAGAGCACATGGAGCAAAATCTAGGTAACATGAAAAATTAGTAAATAAGGGAAACATACTAAGAAAACATACACAGATGCTGATGGCATTAGACAAGATATAGGTACATACTGTGATGAGGGGGTTGGGCTGGAAGGTTCCAGACAGGGTGAAATTGTTTTTTGCTCCCAAAGCATGAAAACTGACAACATGGAGGAGGACATGACCACAGGACAGCACAGGCAGGAACACTTTTAGGAATAGTGAAAACAGGAGGCCTAATCAAGGACCTTGCGGGGGAAGGACAGTAAGGAACAAAATGCGATTGCCACCTAGAGAAAATGTTTACGCCTACCTGGGCACCTTCTTTCTTCTCTGAAACCCCAGGCGGCACTGCTGGAGCTGATGGTATTTTGGAGAGACACTTTGGGACAATCTAAAGGCTTGCGCTGGGACAATGTGCAGACATAATCTGCATGCATGTTCTGGGGCCATCTGGAGGCACACTCTGGAACAATCTTAAGGCACATTATGGGACAATCATGAGGCACAATCTGGAGGCACATTATGGGACAATCATGAGGCATACTGTGGGACATTTTGGAGGCACATTATGGGACAGACATGAGGCATACTGTGGGACAATCGGGAGGCACATTATGGGACAATCATAAGACACTGCGACATTTTGGAGGCACATTATGAGACAATCATGAGGCACACTCGGACAATATGGAAGCACATTATGGGACAGACATGAGGCATACTGTGGGACAATCTGGAGGCACATTATGGGACAATCATAAGACTCTGGGACAATTTGGAGGCACATTATGAGACAATCATGAGGCACACTCTGGGACAATTTGGAGGCACATTATGAGACAATCTGGAGGCACACTCTGGGACAATCTGGAGGCACATTATGAGACAATCACAAGGCACACTCTGGGACAATCTGGAGGCACACTATGGGACAATCTGGAGGCACACTATGGGACACTAGACATTGGTAATCGCTGCTGTGTGGCTAAAACTAAGCTAACACATGACACAGGTTCTCAAGAAACATAATACCCACCTGGGGTGAAATTGTCAGTGCATGCAGGGTCACTGGGCAGGTATTGTTACAGGTTCAGCCTCAAAGACTAGAACTGGTGAGACCACAGAAATTGGGATCTCTGAGATTACAGGGGCTGGAGCTGCTGAGACCTCTGAACTGAGTTTGATAACACCTACTGTAGTGTCCTGCAGTTGTTGATGAGCACATGAATCGTATGAATGCTACAGAGCAATATGGAGCGCTTTTGTATTTAAGTAAGCCATGTCAACTAATAACTGAGGTCATCAACAACTAATCGATTTTCAGCTAATTATTGCAGCCCTAGTCCAGAGTAACCAAACTGAGAGACAGACCACGGTCAGCAAGGCTTAAACCTCCATGGCGCTTTTAATCTTCAACTACTCCGTGACCCAGGAACTGGGGCCGGACAGAAAGAATTATTCTACACTGGTTCTTTGGTTTGCATTCGCTTGTGCCTGGCCACGTCTGCCTGGCCAAACGGCCAGTGCAGTAAGCTCCAGGCGCAATTCCGCGAAGACATCTGGAAGCAAGGAAATATCAAATAGGAATGGAATGAAGTAGACTGATTAGTTCTGGGATGAGCGCCCAGCAGGAAGATATCTGAATGATAGCACAAGGCCTTAATGTCCGGCCGACAAGTTTGGATCACATCAGTGCAATAAGATTTTAATGATGGGCTTCTAAGGGGTGTGGCTCGGGGAAGTGTGATGAAGCTGTGAGTCCAGGCAATCTAGATAGAGATCGCCTGCAATCGACTGACACATCCAGTAAAAAAAAAAACACACAGGTGCATGCTGGGAGTCATATGCATGCTTATGAAAGCACAAATGACTGTGAGGAAGTTAGGCTGCCTGATGATGTGGCAGGCATCATCAGTAGTTCAGACAAATTACACAGAAATGAGCTCTTTGAAATCAGAGCTAAAAAACTGAAGTAATTTTTGTCTGTGCTCGTGTCTAAGGTTGTGACATGAACGTTCATAAGCGATGTGAGAACAGCGTACCCAGCCTGTGCGGACACGACCACACTGAGAAAAGAGGGCGGATTCAACTGAGTGTGCGAGGAGAGAAGGAGGATATATATGTCACAGGTGAGAGACAAGCAGCCGAGAGATGAGGACAGTGCTTGGAAGTGCTAAAATCATAAATGAAGGTTCAAAATAAAATCATCTTACCTGTAGAGGAGAGTTCACAGTGCATTTTACTTTTCACAAGTCCCACAATAGACAGGACAAAATCTCTCCACAGTTGAGCATAAAGGGAAGAGGTTTTTGTCACAGGTCAGTTAATAGTGCGTTTGGACAGTTCTCATAACTTGAACGCTGGTGAATTTACCAGAAGGACGTTACACTCAACCAAGTCATAAATACAGGTGGTGAACTTGAACAAGTTCCTCGTTCTTTAGTTCACAAGTCGTGACGTATCACCAGCCAGTACGTTCTCTGATACCGTGGCAACACAGCAGACCAAAGTGATGCTGCCCTTTCAACATACAATGCAACAAATTATATCTTGGCAAGTGATGGCAACTTAAATGTAGTCAATATATCGCTGTTGTCAGAACAAAACCTTGTATCTCCATTTTTGTCGTTTTTCAGTTTTTGACGTAATTTGAAAATACCTGCTGCCCTTTACATTGTGCATAAATTTCATGATGCATGGACCAACAGAAATGTCCCAGAATTACTTGGAAAAAAAGTCTGGTTCCATTGACTTACATTAAAAGTAAAGTATGTTTTTTCCTTCTTCTGTAAAGTTCTTATTTTGGAGATACAAGGTTTGATTCCGACAACAGTGGTATCCAACATTTCTCTCATATTTCTCAGATTGTCGTACAAATGTTATACGGTTATTTAACATATTTGTAGACGTCTCTATGTGTTATAAGGAATTTTATTTAGAAAAGTTTTTTCATTCCGTGAGCAGATAATTGTCGCTGTTTTAAGCATTATTTCTTAAAATAAGCTAAATTATGAGACAATTTTACTAGATAAAATGACTCAAAGCAACGATAAACATCAAGAAGTACTTTAATAATCTTACAACATTCTTACAACTATCTCCTGATAATATGATAAACGATAAATATAGCATATTGTCACTGTCCAAAGAAAAATCTCCAAAATGGAAACTTTACAAGAGAGGCAAAAGAAATCTTCTTCTAACTTCTAACTTAATTTTGAAGCATTTCTATTTGTCCATTCATCCTGAAATTTTAACAGAATATAAAGGGCAGCTGCTAAGCTCAAAATAAGTAGAAATCTAAAAATCACAGAAGATTGAGATACTTGTTTACTTTGGACAGCGCTGACATGTTGACTAGGTTTGAGATGTCTTCACTTGCCAAGATATCATTTTTTTTGCAATGAATGTATGGTTTATGTGATAAATTGACCAGTTGCTGTGGACCACCCAGACGCAAACAGTAGCTATTTAGTGGTAAAACCATTTTTCAGTGTTATGAGTTGATGAGGACCACCTGAACTGCACTCTAATGAAGTCCAGCAGACCAGGGTGAGAGAAGTAGGTTGGACATTGCAGGAGACCCTTCAAGCAGGCATCTACGTACAGGTATCTTCTCACATGCTACATTAGGGCCATTTTTGTGGTGCAGTGAGATCAGCAAGTTGAAATCATATATAATATGGTAAAGCAGTGGTTTTCAGACCGGTCCTCAGAGTCCCCAGGATGGTCCCAACTCTGGTCCTGAGGACCAGTTTGAGGAACAGTGTTCCAGTGTTTGGTTATAGCAGTCACAATTCAGCAGTTCTCCAGCAGGGAGCAGTGTTGACATTCAGTAATACTCAGAGGGGATATAAAATACACTGTAAAATAATTGGTGTCATTTAGGGCTGGTTTCTCAGACACAGATTAAGGATCAAGAATTTCCGATGGGGATTTACGTGCATTGCAGTCCATGCCTGGGAAACTGGCCCTTAGTGTACCTTTTTTGCCATTTTTCATTATTTCAGTATTCATTTTAGTATTTAGTATTTGAATGTTTCATTCTGATGTTTATGTATATTTGTTGTTTGTTACTTTTTACTTTTAAACTACTTCTTACCAAAAGTGTTCCCACTTGGTGCCCTTGGTACCAACATCCTGCATGTGTTTATCATTCCTTATTGATCATCACCTAATCTGTCCAGCAGTCTTGCAAAGGTGCTTGGATTGAAATACATTTGATGCTGAATATACCTCTTTGTGCCTCCTTGAACTGCTTTTCCAAAATGGGTGATTGAAAGCATTGAAATTCCAAATTCCCTAAATCATGTCAGTTGTATGCCTCCCTAAAATTCTGTCCATGTTATTACCGTACAGAGCCCTTACTTTATTTATTTATTTTAAAGTTTAGCTCACCAAGTCCGTGTTGGCGAATTTACATTGGGGTGTTTTTCCGAGCCACATCATTTGCCATTGCTGGCCTAATTGAATTGAAATAAATGCTCTCCCATGCCAGAAAGGGAGTATGTTGTTTGGTGGTGCGGTGGACCGAGGCGATGTTTGTTCTCTCCTAAAAACAGCAGCTAGTCATCACTGCACACCCACCCATGGCTTTGGGTCAAAAAAGTTTTGCAATTTGCAGCCTCCCAATAATGAGTTTGAGTTTAGCTGGTCCTGGATCTGTCCACAAGGGTAGGAAATAATGAAACCCACACAGCTGGCCACCAAACATGCTCCAGAAAATGTAATGGATCTACACCAAAGTCCTTAGGGGAAAGTTTGTTCACTCTGCGGACATCTTGGCAACACTGCCGGGCATTTATTTCCAGATGTACAACACCAAACTCCAGTCTCTTTGAATGAGGAGGGAAATTACAGTTCAGAAACATATTTGAAATCACTGGTGAAATCTGACAAAAATCTGACATAAATAGTTTGTGGTTTTGGGCTCAAGTAATACATAAAAAATGTGTTTTTTCTGTTGTTTTGGCTACTGCGCTACCTCAGATCTCCATGACGCGGGGCGCTCCCCAGTTGGTAATTACAGGGTGGGATTTTCCCCTCTACTGGTTGGACAAACTTTGCAGAATGTTGCCGAAAACCCTTCTCCCCTTTCTCGAGAAATACCAGCACACTAATTTTTAGTCAAAATATCTCGAGTGCCTTAATAAATTCTTATTGCTTTTAGTTTGTATGCCTTTAAAAGCCCACAGAGGTTTTTATAAACATCTTATTAATAGGCTAAGCTGAAAGCTTACCAGCATCAACTGTTTTAAAGCTGCTAGCTAGCTAAACCTCAGTTTTCGCTGTGTGGCTTGATTTTATTGATATAGCTTGAGACAACATCATACTTTCTGTTTCTGGTCTAATTTAGGCATATATGTCAAGTATGACAAGAAGAATTATTGACATCAAACATTTTGCAGTAGCTGCTATAGGCTGTGACGTTAGCTACTTAACAACGTTAAAACAGTTAAACCCAGTGAAACTTCCTGCTTAGCCTGTCAGTCAGATTTTAATGTCTGAAATCCTTGCTTGCATAACATTTTCCACCAAAATAAATATTATTTTACGCTGCTGTCAAAACGTTTGGAATCACTGTTCAGAAGTTTGGAATCAGTGTTTTCAATAGTTTGGTCTCAGATAAATGTATGAAATGATTCTAAAATGCTGCTTGTGTTCACTTAAATTAAAGAATAGTTTGTATATTTCTGAATAGTTTGCAATATTTAAATAAGCACTGAAATTTTTGTTATGTAAAATAACAAAAATGTGTTAACATGACAGGTCATTCCAAACTTTTGTATGTGTATTTTTGATAATATGTATATGTATTTTTGTTAGTTGTGTGCTAGAGATTCTCATTAGGCTGAGTGGGATTTTTACCAGCGCTCTGTAAAGCTTGCACAGCCTCACAACAGCAGCCATCAAGGGTGCTTTTGTGTGTAGAACTTGGAAATATCAGTTGAGTAGTTTGTACTTTTTGAATCTCCTCTGTTTGTGCAGTGTTTGAGGCGCGTAACCTGATCCCAATGGACCCCAACGGCCTGTCCGACCCCTATGTGAAGCTCAAGCTCATCCCGGACCCGAAGAGCCACAGCAAACAGAAAACCAAAACCATTCGCTCCACTCTGAACCCCGTGTGGAACGAGAGCTTCACTTTGTGAGTGTGTTTGTGCGTCTTTGGGAATTTTTTTAAGCATTTGGCAGAAGCTCTTATCTAGGATGGCAGATGGATGTAGCATCAGGAGTCTTGCCCAGAAACTCTTGTTGTTGTAGCCTGGTGTGGTTACCTGAGCTGGGAATCGACCCCAGTTGGCTGCATCAAGGGCAGCAGTGTTATCCACTACACTACACCAACCATAGAGAGTCAAGCTTCAAGGAGATGTTTCAGAATGTCTGCATGATTCAGTGGTTAAGACGTAAACAATAATTCAGAGTGGTTTGGTGTGAAATGGTCCAGATTTCTTTTACAGTGGTGGTGATAGGAGCCAGGGGTCGCCATGACAACAACACAAATATAGACATTTTATTTACTATCCAGAACCACCAGTGAACCTACGTAAGTTTAAGTTTAATAGTGCTAAACTGCCTTTCCAAAGTTCGGCGGTACCAGACTTTCCAAAATGTTCTTAATATAAATAAGCACACTTTCTTTGCTGGCTTGCAGCAGCTTTAAAGACTAAGCAGGTTCCAGGTATTTAAAGAAAAACGGTACCACTCGTGTAAATACTTGCAGTAATTCTATGTGGTGACTTCTGACTTTTCTCCTTCTCTGCCTTGCATTTTTTCCTTCTTTATCCCGTCCATAGTTCAGTGCGTGGCAGGCAGTGGGACAGGCGTTTGTCCATAGAAGTGTGGGACTGGGACCGGACATCTCGGAATGACTTCATGGGCGCTCTGTCATTCGGAGTGAGTGAGATTTTTCGTCGACCCGTCAGCGGCTGGTTCAAACTGCTCAACCAGGACGAGGGAGAGTACTACAATATACCTGTACCCGACCCAGACCTGCAGGTAACCCATCCACATCTGCAGTTAGGGGTGCAACCATCATCACCACACAGCTATACTACACTAAAAAGTCCAAAAGTTTGTAGACACCAGGTTCTCCAGCGTTTCTTCTCAAATGAAGGGTATTAATAAGGGAGTTTGTCTTCCTTTGCTGTAATAACAGCCTCTACTCTTTTGGAAAGGCTTTACACTGGATATTGGAACATTGCTGTGAGGATTTGATTGAGCATAAGTGAGGTCAGGTACTGATGTTGTAGTTCTGGATCATTCCAAATCATCCCAAAGGTATTGGATGGAGCTCCATCACTCCAGAGAACACAGTTCCACTTCTCCACAGCCCAGTGCTGGGGGCCTTTATACCCCTCTATCTCACGCTTGGCATTGGGCATGGTGACCTTAGGCTCATGTACACACCACAGTGACTATACAGCAGTGGGTGCTGCATTCACTAATTAGACGAGGTGTCTAGAAACTTTTAGATGTTAAGTATAGCAGAACTTTTATTATGTAGTTGTAGTATTGCTTGATCTCCTTACCGAAAAAAGCACTTGATAAATTAAAAGCTTAATTAGTGTCACAGACAAGGCTAATACATCACCAACCCCATCATCTTCACTCTGTGAGAGTGAAACATTGAAATGTAATCACTGTCCAGTCACATCCCTTTGCCAGACTCTCTTATCTGTTAACACGGTTGTTCACACATCACAGATGTAAGGCACCAAAATATTGCCGTATCAAAAATGCAGCACCACAACAGACCTGCCTACAGCCTCTTTAGGACCTGCAAGGCCTCCTGTAACCCTATCGTTATGTATGTCCACATGGGGGCAGTAGAGTTACACGTATGAGTCAGTGGCCTCCACGGTGGTTGAGTCATGCATTTCCCTCTCTCTCTCTGTTCTTCTCTCTCTGTAGGAGCCAGACTCCGCTGTGTCTCCCTCTCTTCCTCCTGTTCCTGCTACCGTGGCAACACCTGTGCCTGACGTGAGCCCACCCGTGCTGAGCCCTGCACCCACCAGCGCACCAGCAGGGAAAAGCCGAGTCGGACTGCATGACTTCAACTTCCTTATGGTGCTGGGAAAGGGCAGCTTTGGCAAGGTAGCAGAGACAGACACGCAGCACAGTGAACACAAACAAAACCGAGAGACACACTCAAACATGTACGTGTTATGAAATGTGCATTAATAAAAAAAACATGCACACGTATCTACTAGGGCTACGACTAACGACTGTTTTCATAATGGATTAGTTGGTCTATTATAACTTTGATTAATCTATTAGTTGAGAAACAAAAACCTGCACATATTAGTCTGACAACAATGTTTCATTCAACCAATTAAAATACAGGAAAAACTCCCACCCTATCTTCTTACTTACGTTTTCTAAAAAGAGCTTTTGTCAAGGATACAGCAGCAAATTTTCTGCATTGCTCCTTAACCCTTAATATCCTCACCAAGAAAAAAGCAAAGAAGTTTTATATTTTTGATTTTTTATTTGTTTAGGGCAATAATAAAAACAATTGTTTTTGGGTTTTTTTTTGGTTTTTTTTATTTTTTCGACCCCACAATTTTTAAAATATTCACGTCTACCAAACAGTCGAGATGGCACTTTGTGGCATATGTAATGACTCAAAATGTGCTCTACCAAATGGTTGAGCAGAACATTAAAGGCTTAAAACTCTATTTTTGAAAAGTGCAGAAATAATAAGGGAACAACACATCCGAGTCCAAGATTGGACATGTTTTACTGTATTTCTCCTCTTATGATAATAAAAAAAGTAAATAGCTTCTGTTTGGTTGATAACATCAAATAATGAAATGTGATATTATGGACACACTAACAGTCTAGTCACCAGCCGTGTCAGATACAGAGGCTTCATCACAAGGAAAACTGTAGTAACCATGAACGCCATATCACCATTTTCAAATATGTTGTATCAGTCCACAGTTAAATACTGCAAACAGAGTTTAAATGTGTCTCAGTGAACTAAAGCGCTTTTTCATGTAAATGAGAGGCTAAAACACAGAAAAACACGACACACATTCAAGCTGGTCTGTGTGCATTAGCATACAAGCCCTGATAACTGTGTTGTTTAGCCTGCACTGCTTATTCTGTCTGATAAACTAAAACAGAATTAGCTGAAATGCACAGTTTTTTGCTTTTGACTGCAATTTTTATAAGACATTTGTATTTTATTGTGTTTCAGCCATGCGTGTAGTGTTTATTCTCGCTTGGTAGAGATGGATGGATTATTCAGTGTTTTGTGAGGTCCATTCCGATTATCCTTTAGCACAATAAGCCAGTGGCAATTCAGATCAAGGGCGAGGACGGAATGATGCGCCACTTAACCAGGCAAAAACACTAAAGATGGTTAATGTTGGTTTAACAGCATTGCAGTGAACTTGCATAACATACATGCAGTCTTGTAGCTTCATGTCCCTTTAGTCCCAAATAGCAACAAATTAAGAGGAATTCCACTGAATTTTTAAACCTCTGCATATTAAATGGTTTAGATGTAAACAAAGTCATTCAGAGTGGTTTGGTGTGAAACGCTCTGTTCTAGAGAAATCGAGTCAGAATTATTCACAGTGGTGGTGATAGGAACCAGACGTCCACCTCTAAAAGCTCCCTCACAGAAAGTTTTTAGATGGAATGGTAATGAATTCACTGCCTGGTTGTTTTATGATTTATTTTATAATTTTGAGAAGGAAGCAAAATAGTCCCCAAAGAAAACATATTATTTCAGATTTTCCACTATTTTCCATCATCAACATTCCATATAAACTCAGAAGACTCGTGTAGGTTCACTGGTGGTTTTGATAGTAAATAAAATGTCTATATTTGTGTTGTAGTCATGGCGACCCCTGGTTTCTATCACCACCACTGTAAAGAAATTTGCTTCTTTCCTTCCAAAATTTGTTTTGCGCTGGAGCTAAGAGGCTAATGTAGCTAACATAGATAACAATGTGTCACAAGGTGTCAGAAACCACTTAAGCAAGTCTATTAGAAATGACTTATCAACTCCACACAGTGTGAGGCAGGTGTGCTGTGATTTAGGTGTGCAGTGTGCCTGATGCTAATGGGTGGAGTTTTAGCTTCCATTACTTGTTAGCTATATTAGCCTTGTAACTAAAAATAGCAGACTTCAGACACAATCGTGTCTAGGCTGATTGATTACATTTGGGGTAAGGTGGAGGGGGACTTAGGAAAAATTTGATGTTGGCCCAAACATTCGCTTTAATTACTAAAAATGCACTCGTCTTTGTGCACGTGAATGTGTGTGTGTGCCTGTGTGCATGCCCTTGTGTGAGCGTGTGCACTAGAGGATTGCTTATATAAGAGTGCAGGGTTATGCTCAGTAGACAGTGCATCCTCCAGGGCGCAGCGGCATGCTAAAGAAAGGAAGGAGAGGAGGATGAGATTAGAAAGAGAGAGAGAGACGGGACCTGGAGACAGCGAGATATCTGACACACAGTGCAATGAGGGGGGCAGGGTGGAGAAAAGTGACATGGAAAGGAGAACGAGGGATGACAGAAAGGAAGGAAAGAGCAAAAGGGGAGGGCAAGTGAGCAGCCGTGCATTCAAAATTAAACTCTGCATTCTGCAGGAGTGAATTTTGATCACATAGCTAATCCTGGTTTAGACTTAAAACACTTCTTCTGCGTAAAGGCTGAAATTATTATGGTGAGAAATAAGGATGCACCGAAATTTTGGTCAGCAAAACAATCATTGCTTTGTTTTTTGTCTGGAAAAGACAAAGGCAGAATATTTTGGCTGAAAAAAAAACAAACAAAAGATTAAATAGGACTACAATAAATTGCCAAAATCAAATACTTAGCATGTCGTTTGAATGATGATGAAAAAGAAACACTGTGATTAATATCGTTTATCGTTTAATATCGTTTCACTCAGATCAACAGTGGAAAAAAGTCGGTTGGGTGGAGCTACTTCATTAGATAAGAGATTCATGATTGCTGTTCATGTCGAGTATCAACAGAGGGTACGACACACAATACCACCTAATACCATCTGAAAACCTGACGTCCCACTCGATACACAGAGCACAGCAAACTACACAATAATGGAATTCATTGCCTTGAATGACCAAGTGTTCTCTGTTTTTAAGGACTTTGGATTTCATAGCACACGCTGTAATCTACATACTGTAATCATTTCAGTGAATTAATTAAGTGACACTTTATTTATTTATTTATTAGACGAAACAAACACTCAACAGATTCTCAGTAACAACAAAAACATATGAGGGTTAGGGTTAGGTTTTGGGCTGAGGTTAAGGTTAGGGTTAGGATTAGGATTAGGGCCAGGGTGAAGGTTAGGTGTTGGGTAAGGTTGGTAGGTTAGGTTTTGCATAATGGAAGTAATATATTAACAACACATCTACTTAATTTAAGTTATGTATCAACAGAACATCTACTAGATATTTACTTCAGTGTATTGAGATGCTTCACTGCTGCTACTTCACTGATGTGTTGTTAATGTGTTACTGATAATCTGTTTATTAATCGTCTACAAAGGACCACTCCAAATAAAGTGTTACCGTTTATTCTTGTGTAAAATGTGTTTGTTGTCAGCTTAGCCTTGTCCTGTTTAAAGTAGATTTTATCTACTTCTTTACTACCCTATAGCATTTTGCATTTAAATACATAGACTTTCAGTTTTCACCCAGGAAATTTTATATCAGTGCATTATGAGCCAGATAACCTTATAATATTCAATAACCATAACATTCAGTTCTTTAGATAAACATGTGACTTGAGCCCTAATATATTAGGAATGATATACAAAATGCCAAAGTGAGTTTTGTGCTGGAGCAACAAGGCTAGCAGACCAGTGGCTTATACCCCACCAATTAGCTTCACGCTAACTGCATGTGTACATCATCACCCACTCTCTACAAACTGTGTCAGTTTGTTAATTGATCTCTACTAGACTTGATTATGTGGTTCTGTGACACTGTATAATATCTAAAAAATAGACAATTTTAACCATTTCTATACATAACAATGTGTCATTTACATTTACAGCGTTTAGCAGACGCTCTTATCTACAACTTTGTTGTCTACTCAGAGAAAGTATCGTTGTTAGTACAGATGGGTTGGAGTAAAAGCTTCTCCTGAGCTCTCCCCATCACATGGTGCTAGCAAGCTAGCATCTTTTCAAACTGCAGATAACACAAGGTCACTGGAGCTCAACACGCTTGGAGGAGAACACTAACTGCTAAGTCTGTTCCGTAGCGACAGACACACGCACTGAGTGGTGGGAGAGAAGGAGGACCATCCTACCCACCCAGAGAGGACAAAGCTAGTTATGCTCAGACTTCCAGGCACAGATAGGATCAAACTTGCAATCTCTTGCCGTTCTCTGACTGTGCTAACACTTACTCACATCAGGAATCCTCCTGATTAACATTGAGGCAGAGAGAATGCAGAATGAAGTTGTTGTGTGTGTGTGTGTGTGTGTGTGTGTGTGTGTGTGTCAGGTGATGCTGGCAGAGGAGAGAGGGAGCGAGCGGCTGTTTGCGGTGAAGGTGCTGAAGAAGGACGTCCTGTTTCAGGATGAGGACACAGAAAGTGCGATGGTGGAGAGAAGAGTGTTGGGGCTAAGCGGCCGCCCACACTTCCTCACCTCACTCTACTGCGCCTTCCAGACCGAGGTGAGTGTAGAGGCGGCGTGAGAGAGCACATTTACGTATACCTCACACTACAGTTTAAAGGTTTGGATTCAAAGTTTCCTGTTATGTAAAACCAGTTTGGTTGCAGATACATGTATAAAATGACTCAAATTCGCTCACTGTGTAAACCTTAACATCATAGGAAGCTGAAAATTTTGCCCAGGTGTGCCCAGAGTATGAATGAATAGACCCATAGAAGATTCTAAAATGACTGAGAATAAACAAGAATACAATAGCAGAGATAAATATAATGAGTGTAGGAAGCACTACAGCAGTGTAAATGGCAGTATTATCTCTCAGCTCCCACTGATGGAACAGCTGTGATGTTTTCCTCCAGGACATACGCCGCTCACCCACCTGCACTAAAAAGCCATCTCATTTTTCAGCGCTGGCCATTTGCCGTGTTCGTTGGGTAAAACCCTGCATTTCAGTTTGTTGTCTTGAGTGAGTTTCCTTGGTGGGCACGGTGTGGTCAGCACAGTGTTTCCACTCAGAAATGCCACTGAATCATGATAAAACTTTCTATCATTATTTTCACTTCATTAAATGGAGGTGCATGCTGGCCTAAAAAAGAGCTACAGTTATTAAATTAATTAATTGGTGCTGATGCTCTTGCCAAGGACATTAATAGCCCTGAGGGGAGGGGTTACTTAATGAGAACAGATTGCTTTTTAAAATTTTGACTGGGGGGGATTACATAATGTGCCTGTGTGTGTGTATCTATCTAAGGAAGTGAAGATTGACAGGGAGTAATTATGCAATGCCTTCATTATCTGGTTGCTCCTTCAAATGGTTTCCTGAAGAAAAGTGTCAGTGTGGCTGTATCCTGAACACATTCTGCATCAAAATCAATACCAGACTTAATGTGGCATCCATTGTCTTGGTCTGAATCCACTGACTGCCCTGCTTAACTAGTCTTTGTTTATAGGTGCAGAATGAGATCATCTGACCTGCACGCCAGTGTGTTCTTATAGTAGCTGCTGAGTAATACATAATAGTTACTGAGTGCTGCATATTAATTACTGAGTAGTTTTCAGTAATTACTAAATAATTAATAGTAGTTATTAAATAATTCGTAGTAGATACTGAGTAAGACATAGTAGTTACTGAAGAATTTATAGTACATATTGAATAATTTGTACTAGTTACTAATTAATTCATAGTGGTATTGAATAAATCATAGTAGATTCTGATTAATATGTAATAGCTACTTAATAATTAATAGTAATTCCTTAAAAATTGTTGTAGTTACTTAATGATTCATACTAATTTCTAAATAATTTATAGTAGTAACTCATTAATTCATAATGATTCTTAAATAGTTTATAGTAGATACTGATTAATTTATGGTAGATGTTGAATAATTTATAGTGGTTACTGAATAGTTCATGTTCATTTTGGAATAACTTTTAACAGGTACTAAATAATTCATAGTATTTCTGGAATAATTTATAGTAGATACTGAATAATTATTAGTAGATACCGAATAATTAATAGTGGTCATTGAGTAAGTCATAGTAGATACTGATTAATTTATAATAGCTACTTAATAAGTTATAGTAATTTCTTAAAAATTTGTAGTAATTAATAAATAATTTATTTTAATTTCTGAATAATTTATAGTAGAAACTCAGTAATTCATAACAATTCTTGAATAGTTCATAGTAGATACTGATTAATTCATAGTATATACTGCATCATTTATGGTGGTTATTGAATAATTCATATTACTTTCGGAATTATTTATAGTAGTTACTGAATAATTCATAGTTTGTAATAGTTTATAATTCATGTTTGAAATAATTAGTAGTTACTGAATAAGTCTTATTTACTTCTCAATCATTTATTGTAGATACTGAATAATTCATAGTGGTTTTTGAATAAATCATAGTAGATACTGATTAATTTATAATAGCTACTTAATAATCAATAGTAATTTCTGAAAAATTCGTAGTAGTTAGTAAATAGTGCACATTCATTTCTAAATAGTAATTTATAGTAGTTACTCAGTAATTCATAGTGATTCTTGAATAGTTCATAATTCATAGATACTGATTAATCCATGGTAGATATGGAATAATTTATAGTAGTTACTTAATTATTCATATTCATTTGAGAATAATTTATAGTAGATACTAAATAATTCATAGTATTTTCTGAATAATTTATAACACTGAATAATTCTTATTAATTTTTGGATAATACACTTCGCATTTTCGGGATCAGTGACTGGTGATGGTGTTTGTACTGCAGAATCATTCCTATCATGGAGAGGAGAGTTTGAATGACTAAGCGACTGGTGGTGGATAATAATGTTCCTCTTGCAGGATCGGCTATACTACGTGATGGAATATGTGAATGGTGGGGATCTGATGTTTCATATTCAGATTGTTGGAAAATTCAAAGAGCCACATGCAGCGTGAGTCCTGCAGCACTGCTCTCAGTCCTCCACATCTGTCTTCTCTCCTTTTATCAACCTGAACACGGACATTAATGAATAATCTCCTGCAGGTTCTATGCAGCAGAGATAGCAGTGGGGCTCTTCTTCCTGCACAGCAAAGGCATCATCTACAGGTACTGCACAAAACATGGACACAGTTATCCACTGTGTGTTATTCTGTATTGTGAAGTGAACATTCAGTCAACATTATCGATTTTAAGCTGCTAAAACTTTAAATCAGTGACAGTATAGCGGAGATAATTATATGGTTAAAAATGTTCTAGTGTTTTAGTGACTTATATGATTGTAATTTGTCAAATATAGTTGTTGAATTTGTTAAACTCAAACGACATAAACAGTCTTAAATAATATAAACATAAAACAAACAGCTTGTGTTCAAAATAGCATCACATTTTTGAATGTGTATTTCAAAAAATACCATTTAGAACTTTAACATCAGCCAGTTTTATTGGACAAAGGATGTATCATTCAAGCCCTACACAGTTAAAAAGATGGTTCTTCAAGGGTTCTTTAGTAAAGGCAGTAGTTCAATGTGCTTAAATGGTTCTTTCCATGGTGAAATTGTTCTTCAGATTGATGGAGAATGTGTTGTAAAAGCTTCTATGTAGATGATTTTTGAAAAGGGTTCCAGGTTCTGATTTTGTTATGATGTCTAGCTTGTAATGATGAATGTAGAAGATCCCTTTTTGGTGCTATACAGAACCATTTTCAAAAGGGTTCTATATAGACCCATATACAACACATTCTCCATCGATCTGAAGAGCGATTTCGCCATGCAAAGAACCATTTAAGCATGAAATGGTTCTATACAGAATGTATGGTTTAAAGTAGAACTATTGCCTTTACTAAAGAACCCTTAAAGAACCATTTAAGTGTGTACTCTCTGTATACTGGGTGCTGTCAAGTAACAAGCACATTCTCTCTGTCTCTCTCTCTCTCTGTCTCTCTGTCAGAGATCTGAAGCTGGATAACGTGCTGTTGGACAGTGAGGGCCATATAAAGATAGCTGACTTTGGGATGTGTAGAGAAGGCATGCTGGAGGGAGACACGACACGGACGTTCTGCGGCACTCCTGACTACATCGCTCCTGAGGTTCAAACCCTCAGACCCAACTCACATTAACACAGCGTGCTACATTACAGAAATCAGTACAAAACTGGTGCCGTTGTAAGACCGTTACTCTTAGTAGACACAGTCACATAGTGGACATACACTGTGTAGCCACTAAGAAACTCATATATACTTCCACTCACCACCTCTCCATCTACCTTATAGCTCCACTATATAGACTTACAGTTACAGACTCCAGAGTTCATCTGTTGCTGCTGTTTATCAGCCCCCTCTACCCTTATCATCATTTGTCAATTTCTGACCGCTGCTGTCCAGATATCATTGGGTGGTGGTCCATTCTTAGCACAGCAGCGACACTGAGATGGTAGTGTGTGTGGTGCCGGTATGAGTGTGTCAGACACAGCGGTGTTGCTGGGGTTTTTTTACACACCTCGGTGTCACCGCTGGGTTGAGAGTGGGCCTTCACTCAAAAGTATAACCGGCCAAGAGTGGCTCTGTGGTCAAAAACTGACCACCGATGAAGGACTAGAGGATGCATCAACATCAAGGTGGAGCTTGGCGTTTCTAGTGAAGTGGATGAGGATTGTATATGAACCCACAATATCTCATTCTGACTGTTTTGTCTTAGGTGTTCATGTAAGACTGGGCAATATGGCAAAAATATAATATGATACTTGAAGACACTTTCACAATACACAATATGTATCGCAATACATGGAACACGAGTTGAACGGACAAATTTCACCAATAAAATAGTAGTGCTGCATTTTAAAAAGACTAAAAATCTGCAATAGAAACAGGAGGGCAACTCAAACAATTGATGAAAATAAATGAATAAAATAAGATTCTGTCGTGAGGGGCATTCAGCTACTGTTTAGTTTATACAGTTACTGGGCACTGGACTTGTTGTTTACAGGCTTTCCATTTCCAGGTTGACACTTTTGTCGCAACGCAAGGCTTAAAGTTTTAAGGCATTTTGTTGTGTTGCTCTGAGACGCAACTCCCACCATACATAAGACTTATTAATTGATAGAGCATACAATACAGCTCGCATGAATTCATGTGATTTGGAAGCTACAGGGTTAATTAAATAAACTGTGGATCTCTGCAGAGAGTTATTTAAAGTAAACTGTGGTTCATCTCTGCTGAGGGTTCTTTGAAGTGAACCTCAGTTCATCTTCATGGCACAAAATGGCGTGTTATAGAAAAGCAAGTCCCACATGGTGATATCAGTGAGTGCACTGAACTCGTTTAACTTATCAGGGTTGCAATATTATTCAAATATTTTCTGCCCCGGTCATAAAAGCCAAGAGATTTTTTAGATGTTGTGCTTAAATCAGGATGAGCAGGAGACACTAGTGAGGGAGGGAGGGAGGGAGGGAGGGAGGCTGCTTTTGGTTGAGCTAAAAGCAAAAGCTAACACTCGTCACTGTCTTCAGTCACTGTCTTCTACGCAAGATATTGTGTCGTCCGCTGTGGGATGCACTCCCATGAGGAGCTTAGAGGGTGTGGCCATGCAGAGTGGCTCTTGGGATGCACTACGCTCCCTGGGTAAAAGGCGCTGTTGTAGTAATTGTTGTTTTCTACCCTCCTCGTATGTTGTATTATCCCAGCTTACCCCCTCCCTGTGTTTCATGTTGGGTTAGCACTGGACAGGGCATTTTTTGCTGTCTTTGAAGTGCCTGTTCAATAAATAAAAGAGCATTCACCCCATTTCATTCTGCGCTGATGTTACCGTGAGTGTGTTTACATGCACTCAATAATCCGATCATTATCGGATTTCTGCAGTTATCTGATTATTCGAATGTTCATGTAAACAGCATACCCATATTTAGATCAGAGTAAGGTCTAGAAATCTGATTAGGAAATCTGATAAAGAGGCTGGATTTTAGTTCAGTAATCAGATTCCTCAGTGCATGTGAACTCTTACTCTGACTTCTTTCGGATTTCTTAGTCTGCGCATGTGTGAAAACAGACGGCGGTACCGGAAATAAGTGAGCAGCGTCGCCATGAGAACCAGAAAAACGCTTCTGGAGCGACACTGAAACCAAATACATGCTTAACAAAATGAAGGGTTTAAATGTTCCTCATCTTCTAGATGATGTTTGTTCATATTTTCAGGTAAAGTGATTTGATATTTTTTTAAAAAGCTGCGGCATGAAGTTTGAGTTTTATATTATGTTTACATCACGTCTTCTTCTGTGAGTTTATTGGCTGGTTGTAAAGTGAAATCTGATTACTGTCTGACTCATGTAGACCTGGAGTTTTCCATTGTCTGATTACTCAAGTGCATGTAAATGTGTTGATCGGATTACTGACAAAATCTGATTTTCTGCAGTTATCGGATTATTAAGTGCATGTAAACGCACACAATATTTCTCCGCCGAGAAAGGAGGTGGGAGATCTTTGTAGAAGTACTGACCGTACCCATCATATACTCAGAAAAGAATGTTACAGCGTCATTTACATCATGATACTGAGAACATATTGCCACATTGCCCAACCCTCTGTTCAGATTTTAAGCCCTGTGTCTTGTCATAACACAGCTGCGATATTTCTGACCGTCCTACAGTCCTACAACCCCAGCCATCCATCTCCACCCCTGAGATACAGCATGTCTGCTGTTTTCAGTTTGGAGTAATTAATCTCTAACGTTCAATCAGTGTGATCGGTCAGCACATACCACTGTGTAAGTGTATGTGCATGTGCACTCGTACTCATGTGAGTGTGATTACATTCACTGTCGTGTGTGTGTCACTCTGTGTGTGTGTGTGTGTGTGTGTGTGTGTGTGTGTGAACTCTAGTTCTGCATGCGTCAGCACGATATCGTTAACCCACCAGTTAAACCCACTCTTATTGATTTTATTACGTAAAAAAATTGATCCCCATGTCCCCGTCATTTTATGCAGACACAATATGTGTCCCTGCTGGCAAGGAAATTAATCTCTCTCACTCACGCTCTCCCACACACACACACGACTACATTATCTCTGCATTATCACACACAAACACTGTGCGTACGACGGCTGCAAAATGATTTTCTTAGGCTTATCTTCCAACTGAGCAACCCCAAGTCCAAATCTCTGTGATTCTTTTTAGCAAAACGTTCAGCATTTTTACAAACCTCAATTCCAAAACCATTTGGAGAGAATGTGAAATACTTACAAAAACAGAAAGCAGTGATTAGTAAATTCTGTTCAACCTGTGTTGTATTGAAAAACGGTGCTCATTCCAGTTATGATGCCTGCAAAACCTTCCAGAAGATTTTGGTCAAACTGTCTCACATCACATTTCCTTTTGACTGTTAAACAAGTCGTACAGGGCCTTAGTTGCCATATTTTGCACTTTCGTAATGCACCACGTTTTTGATGAGAGACGGGTCTGGACTGCAGGCAGGTCAGTCTAGCACCTGCACTCTCTGATTACGCAGCCATGCTGTTGTAACACATGCAGAATGTTTCTGAGATTGGCATGCTGAAACAAGCATGGACGTCCCTGAAAAAACGTCGGCTAGAAGGCAGAATGTTGTCACTGGCCGAAAAAACAAGCATCTCCAAAATGGTATCTTTAAATGAGACGGCATGTCATTTATTTTTAATGTAAGTTAATGTAAAGAGGTTTTATTCCATTAAATTGAACTGGACCATTTCCATTTTTCTATTAATTAGAACTGGACCCCCAAATTCGACTAAGAGAGGCTAGTGGTCCTGGTTGATGGAGTGAAGCCGCGCTGTGATCACCGCAGCGTTCAAGGAAAGGAGATTAAGATTTTATAGCGGAGGAAGTGGATGTGCTTTCAGCACATGCATCAGATGCAAATTTTCTGAAAGACTTTCTCCAAAACATTCCCCCTCCCCAGGACGAAACTTTCGAATGTTCACTGTTGATTGCTGCCAAAGCTCCAGAGCCCAAATGTAGTATTCGGGACAGCCCTGCTATTCGAAATAAAATTTATGTTTGCTTATCGGCAGATTCCTCTAGTAGCCATATGATACATGAGATGGTTCTGCTATGAAGACTCTGTTTAGTCATTTATTTATTTGTTTGTTTGTCAGATTGTAGCGTATCAGCCGTACGGTAAAGCCGTAGACTGGTGGTCATATGGGGTTCTGCTCTATGAGATGCTGGCTGGCCAGGTGAGTTAATGTGCCCTCTTTCTTCTCCATGAAAGGAAGGTCTAAGAAATCTTCATAATCACATAATACTGTGTACCTCAGTATCTGTTGGTAATTAACTTTTTCATCTTTGGTTTTGAAAGTTGTTACTGCAAACATCAATCTCCAAACTAGAAACGGTATAGCGACTTTAGTGTTGTAATAGCACCCCCTGCTGGAGAAACTTCAAGCTGATAGGCAGGAGTTCCAAAGCCATGTCCACGTACTTTACGTATTGAAAACAATATTTTCAATGTTTCAACAATGTTTTCCATCATTACAGCAGAGTCACTCCGGAATTCAGCAATAGATGACTGTGAGAAACAATGAAATTTACATTTTCATAATGTTGTCTTTAAAATGATTTTACATTTAATATTATTTAACAAGCTGTTAAGTTAGTCCTCTAGCTCTCTCAGTTCTCTTTCCTGGCGATTACTGCCTTTGAATCATTGTCAGCATTATGACATTAATTCAGAAGCATAATTAAAATGGCAAATTACGAAATTTTTTGTGTAGAATTTTCTTTTCAGTGCATCACTAGTTAGAACATCTGTTGTTCCAGACGTACACACATATCTTTGAATTGTTCCCATAGTGCTTGGTTATTTTCAGTTTTGACCTACATTTATATTTATCTATGTCAATTTATGACTATACACAGCATTAAGAAACCTCTTCAAATATCCATTTCGGTGTAAACAGTGGGAATGTGTGTAGTGTTTTGCACAATGTCATAATGTTGGGTTTTCCTGACACCCCAACAGAGTAATTAATATGACAGTCTATTAAAAATCTATTAATTCTTTTCCTGAAACCACTGAACTCGGGTTTGATTTTGATAAACTTAAACAATGTGATTAATACTGTGCTCACACTTAAGTCATCTAGCCTAAATGAACACTTATTTCTATTAGATTTATAGATTCTACTAGATTTCTGGCTCTGTTTGTTTCTCTCCATTACTGTCTCCAAGCAGCATGATTGTATGTATATAACATATTGTTGTGTATTAATGTGGCAAAGACAATACATCTCTGAGAGTAACTACTGTCACACTACAGTAGCTAGTGGTGTGGACCGCAGTGTTAATTTGGCTCGCTAGCATTAAAACACATGAAGCAAGTGAACTTTACACTTAATTTGTCAATGTAACGTAGTAGGAACCAGAAACAGACAACAGCGTAAACCATAAACAACAGGACTAAACAAACTAAACTAAGACACTGGAAGAACTACTAAACAAAGAACCAAATAGAACTGAACTGAGTACAAATCACTAGGAAAAAAGACGCAGTAGCAGAGTCTGAGAGCAAATAATGCCAAGCAAGGGGCAAGACAAACACGAGGGGAATATAAACTGGGAAAACAAATGAGCCCCTCCAACAAAAAAAACACATATCAACCATTCTATTTTTGGATTATCACTTATTTGGTTTTCTATTTTATTTTGTACAGTGTTTTACATTACCCCCTTACATGGTCAGGGCCCAAAGTTTTATTACACACATCTATAACCTAAGAATTACTCAGCCAGTCTGCATTGACGTCCCTGTAGTTACTGAATAATAAGGCTTAGTATGTAATAAGCCTGGGATATTGAGGGGTTAAAAAGCCAAACAGCGCTTTATTTACGTCTTAGTGACCACTTTATTTTAAATACATAGGCTTATATGATGTTTACAAACAATGTCACGTACTGTTTTCAACGTAAGCATTCAAACAAGAAACACAGGATGGCTACAGACAAGACGCAGGTGAGGGACATGACAAAAGGGCGGAGTAAGGGAGGAGCAGGAAAACCAAAGCAAAAACATGAGCACATGACCAAAAACACGAGGGAAGGTAAACGAGAAGGGAAAACAGACAAAAATGACGGGCAAAGCTGGACAGAGTATTACAATCAATCAGATGTTTATCCCTAAAAACCTTGATTACGCAACAAAAACAACAAAGACAACTACCATGAAAAAAGTGTTACTGTCAGTGTGGAGAAAATTGCAGAACCGTGGAAAAACTGAAGTACTGAAGATTAAAAAACCCTTATGAATGTTAAATTCTGACTAGTTCATCACCTAAAGTGCATTATTACTGTATAACTCAATCATTGCATAATTTAGTGCTGTATTTTTATTGTGTGGTTGAATCCTCTCTTTCTCAGCCTCCATTTGATGGGATCGATGAGGAGGAGCTGTTCCAGTCCATCATGGAGCAAAGCGTCTCTTATCCCAAGAGTCTGTCCCGGGAGGCTGTCGCCATTTGCAAGGGGGTAATCTACTTCCTGCTGTTTTGTAAAGGATGTTTAGTTGTCATTGTGTCCTCACACAAACAGTTTTTATAAGCTTTCACAATGTTTTCAATTAAACTCCAAGTTGAAAAAGTAAGATAAAACATTATCTTAGTGGAGCTTAGCGAGGAGTTCATCTCTACAAGCCTATTTTAAAGGGCCCACGCATGGAAAACTACATTTTTCATACTTTTTTTAAAGAGGCCATCGAACACAGTTATTCAGTATTTTAAATTGTTCTCTGATGTCTACGTAGAAGGTATGTGACTGACGAAAAATGCCCAGATGCGGTTTTACACGTCTATGGTTTGGCCCTAGAATGAAACAACCTGTTTTCCCCTTTTTGTGGGGCTAATGAATAATCTGATGAGCTCTGCTCTGATTGGCTGTTGGGGGTTTGGTGTCTTCCTCAAGGTCACTTGATTCACGTTATGTCGGCTCAGGGGATCGAACCGGTGATCACAAGGCTGGTTCCCGAACCTCCAGCCCACAACTGCCCCATAAACAAACTCTGAAATGTCGCCATTGTTGCTTGAATGGAATGTCTGGAAAATGACTAGGAAAAACGTCTGGTTCCATTGACTTACATTAAAAGTAAAGAAGGTTTTTCCTTCTCCTGTAAAGTTACCATTTGGAGATGCGACGTTTTGTTGTGACAGAAATATATAGAGAGAGTTATTGAGTTTTTGGAGTGGAAGATGTGGGGAAGGGATTAAACATTGTTAAACAGGCTGCCTTTTGGACAAGGTGTTACACAGGGCACAGGACATCAGAACAGAGGTCATTTACATATATCAGTCTTAAAGGCACAGTAACAAACAGCATGTTTGATTCTAAGGGAAAAAGAGAGGTTGGAAAATAGATAAGCATGCAATGGTTTAAATATGCTTACGCATTAAAGGGGAACTCTGCAGATTTTTCAAAATTGTATAATTTTTCTGTATAATTAAATGCTTAACATGTCAATGAAATCATTCAGAGTAGGTTGTTGTGAAACGCTCTGTTCTAGAGAAACTTACAGAGTCAGAATTGTTCACAGTGGTGGTGATATAAACCAGACGTCCACCTTCAAAAGCTCCCTCACAGAAAGTTATTATATGAAATGGTTATGAATTCACTGACTGGTGTCTGAGACACTGTTTACGATAGTTTTGTGATAAAAAATTCTGGCCTACGATGTATTTTAATCAATTTATTTTAATCCATTCACAGGGGAGGGATACATGAAGGGTGTTCTAAGGCAAAATAGTCCCCAAAGAAGACTTTCTCAGATTTATTGCTATTTTACTATCATCAGCTGTACATATAAAACTCAGAAGACTCGTGTAGGTTCACTGGTGGTTCTGGATAGTAAATAAAATGTCTATATTTGTGTTGTAGTCATGGCGACCCCTGGTTCCTATCACCACCACTGTAAAGACAGTCTCTACAATCAACCCTTTCACACCAAACCACTTTGAATGACTGTTTCTCATCCACTGAATTGTACCATTTTTGGAAAAATTGGTGGAATTCTCCTTTAAACCATACACAACCTCCTCTCTCTGTCTCTGTTCATAGCTCCTGACCAAGAACCCGGGCAAGCGCTTGGGAGGAGGAGAGGATGCGGAGAGAGAGATCCGGGAGCATCCTTTTTTCCGCTGGATCGACTGGGACAGGCTGGAGAGACTGGAGATTCAGCCACCCTTCAAACCCAGAGCTGTCAGTACCAACATTACAGTAACTCTCACACCGCATTCTAACAGCAAGCGAGCGTCCGAATGTAGTATCACATCGCATCACAAAGCCTTCTGGGTGTCCACACTGGAAGCGTCAAGAATAAGATGTAAACAGTCTGCGGACCAATCTGAAAAGAGCTACTGTACTGACAGCTGTGCAGCTGTGATTTTGGGACATTGATTTAATAGAATATATAACGCATTATGTTTTATCCACTCATTTAACATCAGTAGTGTAAATAACAGAGTTAAATAGTGTTATTCTGCTCTGGTTTTGCGCAGCTCGTTTGTTTCTGCTCACTTATATCTGCTACGTCTAATTAGCTAACAAGCTAAGTATCCTTATCAGTCAGTGACACAAATCAAACGGTGTCCACCTCTAACGTCCAGGCAGTTTCTCTCCAAATTGTTTACTGGACGAGTCTTAGAAATCCATGAGTTTCTCCTTAAGCGATGTGGCTCGCAGGCGGTGCAGACAGCTTCATTAATTAGAAAAGGAGCGCTTTGTTGTCGTTGGTCACTTAATCACATCACTCGCTGTTAGGACAAGGTGTTGGTGCTGGGGCAGGGGTACTCTCTTAAAAAGTGGTTCTCCAGGGGTTCTCTAATAAAGACAGTGGTTTTATTTAGAACCATGAACACTCAAACAATCATCTGCATGCTTAAAGGGTTTTTGCATGGTGAAATGGTTCTTCAGATTGATGGAGAATGTGTTGTATATGGTTCTATATAGCACCAAAAAGAGTTCTTCTATTGTGACAAGCTTGACATCGTAACAATCGCAGGACCCTTTTTGGTGCTACACAGCTAAAAAGGATGGTTCTTCAGGGGGTTCTTTAGTAAATAAAATGATTCTATATAGAACCCTGAGCACTCAAAGAAGCCTTTGCATGATTAAGTGGTTCTTTGCGTGGTGAAATGGTTCTTCAGATTGATGGAGAATGTGTTTTATATGTGTTTTCTATATAGAACCTTGAAGATTGAAAAGGGATCTAGATAGCATCAAAAAGGGTTCTTCTACTGTTACAGGTTCGACATCGTAACAATAGAAGAACTGTTTTTGGTGCTATATAGAACCCTTTTTAAAAAGGTTCTGTATAGAACCATCCACAGCACATTCTCCATCAGTCTGAAGGATGATTTCACCATGCAGAGAACAATTTAAGCATGAAATGGTTCTTTGAGTGTTCTATATAGAACCACTGTCTTTACTAAAGAACCCTTGAAGAACTGTCTTTTTTAAGTGTGTAGGGGTTTGTGTGGGGGTGGTTTGTGTGGCAGTGGGCAGTGAGGACTGAGCTACATCTGAACACTATTTTTCAGGCTTTCAGTTGATGTTTGTTATTTGTCATTCTGAACAGCTGTTACTTCAGTTTTATGTTTTTTTTATCTCATTTCTTTCACTCTATTTGTGTTTGTGCACATGTGTGTTACAGACTGCAAAATGAAAACAAGCCCTCCTCTAAATTACATCAGGCTCTGTCCCCAAATTTCTCCTGCTTAAGTATTTATCTCTGTGTTATATGAGCATATCGCTGTTGTCGGAACAAAACCTCGTATCTCCAAAATGGTAACTTTACAGGAGAAGGAAAAAACCTACTTTAGTTTTAATGTAAGTCAATAGAACCAGACATTTTTCCAAGTCATTTTGGGCCGTTTCTTTTAGTCCATTCATCATGAAATTTACATACAATGTAAAGGGCATTTTCAAATTATGTCAAAAACTGAAAAACGTCAAAAATGGAGATACGAGGTTTTCGTTCAACAACAGCGATATGTGTGTGTGTGTGTGTGTGTGATGTGTTGACGCAGCCATTCATATGTTGAACTGCAGGCTGCAGGAAGTTCTCTAAGGTCATCAAGGACTGCATCTTAAAAGGGGGTTTGATTTTTCTAACTCAATCGAATTCGAAACTGATTTTATAAATTTCTGCATAATTCAGTCATTCAGAGTAGTTTGATGTGAAATGGCTGATTGTAAAGACTTAGATTTCTTTACAGTGGTAGTGATAGGAACCAGGGGTCGCCATGACTACAACACAAATATAGACATTTTATTATCATTATAATACACGTGTCTTCTGGGTTTTTATGTACAGTGTTGATGATGGTAAAACAAGTAAAGCCAAAAAAAATTCTCTGTGGACTATTTTGCCACAACACCCTGCATGTATCCCTCCACCATGAACATATTAAATCTTCTCAAAACTACTGTAAAACAATGTCTCAGACAACAGGCAGTGTATTTATCACCATTTCATGTAATAACTTTCTGTGAGGGAGCTTTTAGAGGTGGACGTCTGGTTCCTATCACCACCACTGTAAACAATTCTGTTTCTCTAGAACAGAGCGTTTCACACCAAACCACTCTGAATGACTCTGTTTACATCTAAACCATTTAATTATGCAGAATTATTATGCTTATTTGGAATTTCTCTTTAATCCCAAATGACTTTACAGCATTTTCTTTTACAGTGCACTGAGAGTGGATGAGTAAAGCCCTGTTGTTACCGGATTAAAATCGCTCCACAATTATTACCGTCAGACTGTAAAACTACACACACTGCAGATTCATACTGGACTAAAATCGCTCCACAATTATTACAGTCAGACTGTATGAAGTGCAGAGACTAGAGATTCATACTGGATTACAGATCCTCACCAGGTAGAGTTGATGCAGCTACTGTAGTGCTTTAGAGAGCCACGATGGTAAGTTGATGGTTGTGCATTCTTTCTTTTTCTGTTTACAGGGAGGAAAAAAAGGAGAAAATTTTGACAAGTTCTTCACGTCTGCTTCCTCCGCCCTCACACCTTCCGACCCGGATGTACTTGCAGCCATCGATCAGGACGATTTCCAGGGCTTTACCTTCATTAACCCTGATTTCCCTGCCACCCCTCTCACCGCTGTCTGAGATCATCAGCTTAACACTACCTACAACCTTAACACACACTATAACACACATTAATCTGGAATTAGTTGTTTTCCAATGAACTGATATTAATTAAAGTAGATAACCCACAAACACTCTGCTGTACAGTAAAATCACCAGTGTTAGCTGCTAGCAGTCGAGAGAATCAAGTATTTTCCAGAAAAATATGAACAGTATACTCCTTAGGGTATAGAATATAATGCATTTATAAACATTATATCTAAGCATATCTGAATTTCATTCCAAGAAAACTTTGAAATGCAGAGTATCAGAGCAATTCACGCTACTGTAGCAGAAAAGGTCAACTGTGTGCAACAAAAACAGCACAACACAGTGTAGGCCAGTATAGGTGGTGATATAATCTATAATCGTTTTGCATGTAACAAGTCATCTTATGTTAGATATTGTATGCATGTATTCTATTACAGTGATTCCATCACATACAATGCACATGCAAATATATTTTTGCCTCAGCAAAAAGGGATTAAAGTTGTTTGAAGCACAATTTTCCTTAAATATCTTTCCTTAAATACGATATATAAAAAATGGTATTAATTAGTGCATGATGCCATTCTTGTGTACAGTGGTCAGAAAGCCACTGGAGTTACTTCTATAAGGTGCTGCGGTTCAGATCAATAGCTAATGTTATAATTTTCAATTTTAGTAGCAGCTGCTCATGTTGTGTTGCAGTACCAATGCTGAGTAGGCCTCTTTCTTTCCCTGGACATTAGCACGTACATCTCTCACTTTACTCTGTATCAATTTTAATGTAACACATAACTGATAGCATTTATTAAGTGATTTACTATTATATGTAATTATAAAACATGTATAGGAATGATACACCTGATTGTTAGATAAGTTGTAAATGATATATCTAAGCAAAGATGTGTAATACAGCATGAAATATTAAAATATAAATGCTTAAAACTCATACATATATGCCTAATAGTGGCTTTTATTGGATGCTGTTTGAAAGTCGAAGCCTGAAAAGAGAATTTGTTTTGCAGTTTTTTTAACTGACGCTGAGACAGATCTCAAAGATTGTGTGTTTAGCTTCTTCTACGAATAAACAAATAAGCTGAGTCGTTAGACTGTTAAGCTTGATTCTGAAGTGTTATCTTAAATTTGTGGCATCTTTAAAGTTATGAGACTCCAGCAGTCTGTAGGTGTGTCATCTAAGAAGCCAAGGGAGAGGTTTGAATTGATCTTAAAATGTATAAAAACTCAAAGGTATAAAAATGACTGTCAGTAAAAATCATTATAAACACTGGTGATTTTACTGCATATCGTTTAATAAATATTAAAGGGGAATTCCACCAGTTTGTTCAAAAATTCTACATAATTAAACTATACATAATTAAACAGAGTCATTCAGAGTGGTTTGGTGTGAAATGCTCTGTTCTGGAGAAACTTACAGAGTCAGAATTGTTCACAGTGGTGGTGATAGGAACCAGACGTCCACCTCTAAAAGCTCCTTCACAGAAAGTTATGTAAAATGGTTACACACCGCTGGATGTCTGATACATGTTTTTTTACAACAGTTTTAAGAAGGTATGGCCTCCTAAAACCTATTTTTGTAATCCATTCATGGTGGAGAGTTGCATGTAGTGTATTGTAGTGTCACATATAAAATGACTGAATGACTTTGTTTACATCTCAGTGATCGACTTACACAGAATTTTTCAAAAATGGGTGGAATTCCCCTTCAACGTCTCAGCTTTCCCAGAGTTAATATACACTGAACAATTCATTGGAAATTAGAACTAATGCCTGATATAATGTTGCACTATAAGAAACTATAAAAAGTTTAATTTAATATGTATGTAATATTTTTAACAGTTAAATTATAAATAGCTTAATTTCCCCGTTTTTACAAGAAATAGATCCCAAATAGCATCCCAAACAAAAACATTCAACATTACCGTATCAGTTTAGCTTAATTTTACAAATGATCTTAAATGGAAGATTTCATTTTAAAACAGTAAACTCACAGATACAGTATAGTACACTAACGTATAATGTACTTGACTACTAATAAACTTCAGTGGTGAAAAATGTGGCAGTACAGAACATCATGACAACATTAATGAGTTGGAATTTATTTCTTATTCATGTATAATTATCTATACTCTATATTGTGATTATTTGGTTGTCTAGGTTTATGGTCATATATATGTACAGAATATGATATCAGCTGCACAGCACATCTAGTGTTATGGTACAGCTGCAGGTCAAATGGACTGTTTCACATCAGATAAGTGCTCTAAAATTAGCTCAGCCCATATTTATCACTTAATAACAACAGCATGTTTACCATTTTGTTCTAATTGTGCTGTAATATAACTCTATATGAATAATTATTACATATTAATAATAATATATGACCAAACATAGTGTCAGAAAGCAACAGCCTAAGCTGTGATTATGCCAAATATTACATTTTTAGGGTGTATAGTATCCCATAATGCCTTCTGGCCCACATTTAATTCTGCTGGTAAATTCTTTTTATATTACTAACTGAAAAACTGTAGGCAAATCATAGGTTTGTCTAAAGCATAATCAAAAAGTCTGAGCGAATAACATCTCACTTCATAACACATTATGAATGAAAGATGAGGCTGGAGAGATTGTGTAGGATAAGGATGTGAATCTCTGATCTCACAGTGAATCAATTCAGTTAACGATTCTTTAGGAAGTGATTGCTCACCATATTTCAGATTTTTTTATTCCCATAACTCAGTAATGCTACTTCTTTTACCTTTAACTAAAATCAAACATAGCGCAGCTTCAAATAAACAAAAGGATGGTCTCTGAATTTTGCACAGTACTGTATTTTAATGAATTTTCTACCATTCCAGACTAAAACTGATGCAGTTGAGTTGACACCTTCAGATGGATCTATCACAATGCATTGTTACAGCTCTACTGTAGGCTGTCACCAGAGAGCAGCGGCTCAGTTTCTGACCTGGCCTGGTTTAAGGCAAGACGCCTGACCTGGAAAAGTCTGAGTGTGCACAGCATCCCAAAACCGCCCACTCCCAGAGCCTGAACCTGCTAACACCCAGCAACAGTGCAGAGAGACTCAGTGACCACAGATCACCTCTTACAGAGCAGAGGAGACTCAGGGAGAAGAGCAGAGAGAGAAGTAGCCAAAACACTCGGACTGCAGACAAAACAGTAAAGATTCTCACTTCAGTCAAATAACGACTCCAGTAGAGGTGAAAGTACAATCTCACAAATTATGGTTCTTCAAAGGTTCTTTAGTAAAGACAGTGGTTGTATTTAGCAATGGTTCTATGCAGTGGTTCTTTCCATGGTAAAATGGTTTTTCAGATTGATGGAGAATGTGTTGTATATGGTTCTATGTAGCACCAAAAAGGGTTCTGCTATTGTTACAAGCTTGACATCATTCATATAGAACCATTGATGGTTCTTCAGGGGTACTTTAGTGCAGAAAATGGTTCTATACAGAACCATGAACACTCGAAAAAAAACATTGGAATGCTTAAAGGGTTCTTTGCATGGTGAAATTGTTCTGAAGATTGATGGGTAGTATGTTGTATATGGTTCTATGTAGCACCAAAAACGGTTCTGCTGTTGTTACAAGCTTGACATCATACGATAGTAGAACCCTTTTTGGTACTGCATAGAACCAATTTGCATGCTTAAATGGTTCTTTGCCTGGTGAAACGGTTCTTCAGATTGATGGAGAACGTGTTGTATGTGGTTCTGTATAGCACCAAAAAGGGTTCTTCTGTTCTTATGATGCCAAGCTTGTAACAACACTTTTTGGTGCTATATAGAACCATTTTCCGTAAGCAACACATTCTCCATCAATCTAAAGAACCATTTCACAGTGTAAAAGAACCATTTAAGCATGAAATGGTTCTAAATAGAACTTATGGTTCTAAATGGAACCATTGTCTTTACTAAAGAACCCTTGAAGAACCATCTTTTTTAAGTGTGAAGCAAAAAACAAACTGGGGTAAAATTTAGTATCAGGTCTAAAAAGAGAGTTCCGCTGCAGAACCGCAGTGGAGCATCTCAGTCCATCCAGCGTCCATCAGCACAGACGGTGAAGTTTGTTCGACTCTATTTTTCTCTTTTCAGTCTTAAACAAAACGCTGAACTCCAAAGCGAGAGAACTAAGAACCTGTAAGCACTGCAGGCGCTGTACTAACACAACAGACTGAAATTAAACCCAGTAAAGGGATTAGGAACTAAATGTTAATGACTAAAGTGGAACTGGGTAAGAAGTAGATTACTTTCCTTACTAATAAAGTTCAGAAGTAAAAGTATTAGCATTTGAAAATACTCAGAAATCCATCAGATGTTCACTGAAGTACATTCAGCCGAGTAATAAAAGATGCAAATGGCTTCAGTTTGGACTTAAGCTGTCTTTAGCAGATCAAGCATTTTATTTTAGACCAAAAGGATCCGAAAAGAGCAGAACAGAGCTGAACAGACTCTGCTTCATATGCTGATATGAGCTAAGAAGCTTTGCAGAAAGCGCATATAATTGTTGATTCCCAACTGTTAACGGTGAATTAATCACATCTCCGTGTTTTGAAGGTTCTGGAAGCAGCTGTGCGCTGAAGGCCATGTTGCCAGATGGAGCATGAATAATTTTTGTCCCATTTCTCGCTGTTTGTTAAATGTATTTTACATGCTATTGTATTTTACATGAGTGATTATAATTATTTAAGTATTTGCCAGTACAGAAATTTAGAGCTCTTTATTTGACTATGTCCTGATGTAATTAGATAGATAGATAGATAGATAGATAGATGTAATTGGGACACTTGCGTTAAGTAATTTGTACAGTAGTTTGGTAATTATTTGTTTCGTGTTTCTCAAGGTGCGAAATAAAGTGAAATATACTGACCTTACAAACTGAGGAAACTTTGAGTTTTTTGCTCTGTTTCTTTCTTCATCTGTAACTACCTTTACTATGTCCACCAACCTTGTGGCCACTTTCTCAGAAACCCCTATCTGTTGTTGCACAGTTTAATAGGCTCCTCTAAATCATTCATCAATCAAAAGGGACCTGCATAGGACCATTACTGACCAGATATAATCTGGGTGGCCCTGACTGCTACGTTTAGAGTGGTCCACCACCTAAAAATATCCAAACAACAGCAGCTCTGTAGTCAGAAATTGACCACTGGTGAAGGGCTAGAGCAGGGGTTGAAACCTGAATGTTAAGAAGAGCCATTTTATCCTTTCAACAAAATGGTGTTCGGTTCATTTCTGGCTGATTCCAGGTTGTTCAGCTGTTCTTCTGTCACAGCTGCCGACTGAAAAGCTGCTCAGTGGTGATGACAGTTTGGGAATTTAGTGTCATCTCATCTTCAGAGTCTGACCAAATCGGCTGTCGGTCAAATGTGAAAAGCATCCATTTTCTGTTTGTGCTCAAAGTAAGAAGTAAAAACGTTCGGATGGCCTGAGCGTCTCCTACAGCTGTCAAAGTCGTTGCTTAGCAGCGGCGTCTCAGCGGAGTAATACAGTGTGAAAAAAACGTGCTGTTATTTCGCCATTAGAACGCTTCTCAACCAATCAGCCTGCATGCCCAGAACTAACTGTTGTATAATGTTCTAATATAGGCTGAAAGATATAAATAAAAACAGAGACCTACTTTTCTCTGCTTTAAGCTTTAGCTCAGCTGAAGCTGCTTTTCTCACATCTCCAGCAGGAAACTTTTCCTCAAAAGTAGAACAGTTTCTTGTAAAATGTCTCTCGGTGTTCGACTTTTTCTGAGGCTGAAGTCTCTTCTCATTCGCTAACTTCTTGCTTCCCATTCCACCTTAATGGTGCTAGAATGTAACTGCTGCATCATTTAAAGTGGAACAAGAAAATTCAAACAAGAAGTTCGTG